GTGTATGTACCCCATTTTTGACACCATGTACCGGGCCATTTCCCTGTAGTTCAGATACATTCGTCTCGCCATCCTAACAAACCACGTCACCATGTGTAGCTTGAGATGATACCAAAACAAGTAATAATGGAGTTTAATGTCCTTGCAACGAGGCGTTAGCCCCCTCTAGGCTTCAGACAGTAATCAAACAAAGACGAGATCTTTGTAAACGAGGTAGTATAGTGTTCATGTCGAGGTAGTATTTGACCATAACGTAGTGGATATGCTGACGGAAACGATATAGTCATAATTTTCATTAATTCAGATTCAGATTGTATATTAAATTGATCAATATTAATTACGCATGAAGTGCCTACGGATACCATGCAAACACAACTTTCATGCAGTAATGGGTATATTCAGCAAATCATGTATCGATATTTGTACGTAAGGTATTAGTGGTCTTTGAGAATCTGAGAACATAGAAAAAAGTTGAGATACAAGATAATAGTAATTCTTCCCTTAATGTGCAACTGTACTGTCAATAAAGGCCAATAAAAGCCGATAAGCCTTGTTTTATACCTTCTTACCAGCAGAATCAAACAGTGACGCTTTAACACAATACCTATTTAATTATGCAGTACAACGAATGACTGAACAAGCAACGCATCTCAACAAAAAAATTTATTTCCATCAGAAATGTATTAGCGGTTTAATACACTTGACTATGCGACGCACCAGATTTTCTTTCGTTATAAACGGCCGGTTTAACCTTCCCACTATTAATGCAACATTGTGCCGTGATCTTTCGAAAATCAAACATGGTAGCGGTAATAATCACCGGGTCTAGCACAACCTGCAAAATATAGAGCACCGCAAAGAGCTTCCGGATATCGCGGATGCCAACCGATATTGCCGAGTCCAAATCCGTAAACATGGACACTGTATCCAGCAAATTGTGCGGAGCCCAACACACCAGCAATGACACGACTAATGTACTTAAAACGGCAATACCTTTAATATGCCTGCCATGCTTGCGGAGCAACAGATATTTTCCTACAATAAACGGCAGTGCTACCGCCATTAGGATCATCGGCAGATCGAAGATTACGAGCATAATCGTCTTCGCCCACGTAGACACGCCCACTTCAGCATCGCAGTCTAGCGGAGATTGGTACGCGTTCATCACAATCCCGGGGACGCAGAATACATTAACATACGCGACAATGATCAGAAATAGCGCGATGGATGCTCTACTGGAGTACCTTTGCCGGTATATTACAGGGAAATACACCGCAGTGATTCTATTGGCCGTCAGTAAAGCATGAAGGTTAATCGCGATTCCTTCAATGGTCCAAAACGTATACATTTGCACTGGACATGGGAGACGATGTGACATCCAATCCGAGCAGACAATCGCAAATGCCATTAGACAGTATATCGCGTTAACAGCAGCTAAAGCCATGAGCACGATGGAAAACGGTGTCCTGCGGTCTTTTTGCAGCGAAAACAACACGAGTAATAGCAAATTAAATGCTAGACCAATGACACAGTTAGATGCGTAGAAATCATCCATCCATGTATCGGCGGAAGGCTGGATTACCAACGTCCCAGAAGTGTTATTGGTCATCGCGGCAAATTAAGTCGTTTTTTATTCTTTTCGTTAACCCAGATCGGATTAAGTTTTTTTCTAAATCGAATAGCCGAAAACAGTTTTACAAAGTTACAAACTAAAGCCACACTCAGCTGCCGTGTAGTAATTCTAAGGTAAGTTTGTAGAACGCTTTATCGGCTCAGTATCAGTATGATAGCACTCGAACGTGAACAGCTCTTCCGCAGTTTGCGCAGCTTCCCTTGAATTGTATTACTGCAATATCGTACTACATGTATGTCACGAAGTGCAAATACTCGTAGCCGTAGTGTGTGTTTCCGGACTAGTATCGCGTAACGCGGAAGAGTAAGCTGGCAAAACGTTAACGCTCTTACCAAGAAAATAGGTTGTTCACAGTTCATTCGATCTTATCATTGTTCTTGAATGTCACGAAATCGGGGTGGAAAAAATAGTGTGAATGCAAATTGCCTCTGTGATATCGATTTATTTTTGTATTTTTCGGTGACGTATTTGTTTGTTTTGCAGTTGGATTGTCGCAACAAGTTTTTTTGCAATTCAAATGTTTATCGAGAAGTGGCAATCCCGTCGACAGCGAAGAACAAGACAAACATACGAGTGTCAAAATAAAGTTACATAAAAGAGGCGGCATCATTTTACAGAAATTGTCACACTATTAAGTGGGCGGACCTTTGCACGATTGTTTGCAGAACACTTAAAAAGTATTCCTTTAATGTCCGACATTGTCGCCACAATAATAACCGGATCTAATATGGTAATTTGTATGAGATACAGCATGGCAAACACTTCTTGAACGCGTCCGAGTTCTCCATCGGGATTAAATTTCACGGCACTAAGCATTTGTAAAGTGTCGAGGAAGTTGTAGGGCGCCCAACAGATCACCACCGATGCAATCAATAGGGACAGTACTACAATGCCTTTCTTGTGCCGGTTATGAATCGGTTGTCGCACGTACTTAATCAGTATTGGAGGTAGCGTGACTGCCATGAAAATCACCGGCAAATCGAACAACACAATCAAGGCGGTACGGAGCCATACCGATAAAACAGCAGCGTCGATGTAGCAACTGTCGTGATGGAGACTGAAATTTACAATAATACCCGGCAGACAAATAATGTGCACATAAATCACGATGGCGCATAAAAGAATTATCGAGGTTTTCACCGAATAACTCTGGCGATACGATATCGGATGGACATTGCCCAGATGCGATTAATCGTTAGCAGAGCGTGTGTATTAAAAGAGATTCCTTCCAGAGTCCAGATCGCGTATAGCTGGATGGCACACGGAAGTTTATGTAAACAGAGATTGCTGTTCCAGTAACAGTAGCTAGATGCAAAACTGATTAGGCTGTATAAGGTGTTAAACGCTGTCAAAGCGAAAAGCACCAGAGCGAACGATGTGAAATCTTTTGAGAACGTCAATGCAATTAGTGCTACGGTATTGAGGGCAAATCCCAAACTGCTTGTGCCGGCAGTGTACGCTTCAAACCATCCGTAAATCCCAGCAGAATCCGTCCCGTTGGTTGCATTGGAAAGCTCTATTACAGACACACTATTGTTTGCCATAACATTAGCAGTTCTCTTCAATAAGCGACTTCAACGTTGATCAGGGTGCTTGTTATGAAACTGGACACATCCACATCGGCAAAATTTTATGCTGGGAAACACTAAACGAGGGCGTTTTATTGTATTGTTCCGAAAAAAACCCTTTTCCGAAGAAAACAAAAAAATGTCGGAATTATCGCCACGGTTTGGTCACTGTTACGGTCACGGTTTGAACTGTAAAAAATACTTCATTCCGACGAAATCAAAGTTGTACACCGAAAGCAGAAACCAGCTTTCTTGAAACAATAATCTCGAGCATAACTGTACTGGTCATGTTTAAGCTAATCAAAAAGCAGGAAAGCGGTGCGATTGTAGTGCTTGTAGGGTACTTAAACGTCCTTCCGGGATTCATTCAGGGAATCCATTCATACCAGAACAGCAAGATTAGCGCTACTAAAATTGTGCTACTGAACATAACAGCGGCATGAAGCTGCATCGGTCAGCAAAACACCTGGGTGGAAGTCGAAACTGTTTGAGTACTTGTTCTGACAGCTGCATACACACAACACAGCCGGTTCGACATTTGTGCCTTGAGCAGATCTGCGGATTGCCCATCTCCGTTTGCATTTGTCGCCATTTGGACAGCGTGATGAGACAACTACGTGCTAAAACAGCAACTACACATAAGAAGTTCCTGGTTGAAAGAATGGTTCCCGGCATCAGCGGTTGTTTTTATCAGTTTTAAACAGACAAAAATTATCTTTCCCAGCCTTTTGCCAACGTTGTAAATCGTCCAACAACAAAAAATAATATTGTTATTTTTACCAAGCTTCTTTTGATTATCAAAAGCGAGTACTTTAATACTGCTTTTATTGCTCTTCGTTCGGTTTTTGAGATATAATATACTACTACACGGTATGTGTAATTCGCTTTCTGGAAGAACGTCCATCACCCGACTTTCATATGTTAAAAAAATTTGAATTCCAGTATTGTACTCTAAATGTTCGTGTCTTTAATACAAAATGACTCCAGTGGTTTACTCGTGCACATAATAAATTTCAAGTCAGGTCCGAATATTCTAACGTTAGCTTCGAGTTTTGAATTTTTAAGCGTACAATCTTTTAGAACATTCTCAAAAAGAAAGAGGGATGCCCTGATCCTCTTCTCCATACCTTTGTTAGACTGTGAACCGACAGACAACTGTCTTAAATTTGCAAAGTTTTCTTGGTGAGCTCGCCCTATGTTGCGTTCTTCTGCTCCTGTCCAATCTACATCGGCTGTCAATAGTAATTCGAGTATGTTTCATCGTTGTTTACAGGACAAGGCAACCTTTTCTTAGTTCGGTAAATCATTTATTCATACCGCATATTCATGAATCCCTGCTGTTGATAATTAAAACCAAACCCATGACTTTTCTCGCCGGTGGGCAGGCATGAATAACACCGGTAATTAGTGATCACGTCTTCAGTCGGATTTATGTCCCCAGTCCACCGTCAGCGAAGTCTGTTTCGGTATTACATATTTGCAATAACGGAAATTAGTCCTTTTTGTTGACTTCCGGCAGCGGAATGCTTAATATCTGCATTTAATTAACTCTCGATGCAACCGTCAAAACATTGCATCCATGTTAAAATTCTCTGGCATGACCACAGGCTTTCCTAGTGATTATTGCCAATAATGCTACAAGCTTTTAAAATGTTCGATTTGCCAAATATCGACATTCAATATTATTGTTATTATTATTACGGCACAAAAGCAGACAACCCGGAAGGGACTTCAGTCTGGTCGAATCTGCTGTACTGCAGCCATCTACAGCCCATACTTACAAGGTAAACCGCGTAATAATGTCAGATTTAAACACTACTCTGCTGAATTTGACCGCCGGCGTCCCTCCCTGGAATACCACCCACGGGCCGATGACACGGCGCACTGTTGGCTGGACTGCCATGTTAGTTGTCAAACTGCTCATCTGCATATCGTCTTTACTCCTCAACGCCATCGTCCTGGCTGTGCATTATTTCATTCCCACGTATATTAATCCCTTCAGCATCTACCTCTTAGCGCTCTTCATCACCAACATTGTCTACCTGCTGATAATGCGTCCCATCGGGATCCTGGATGAACTATACGGTCTGTGGCCAGCTAGCGGCTTCTCCCTATGCGTTTTGTACAACTACGACAAGGTCATGAGTATGGTGCCAGTTATGTTTCACGTCCTCATCTCGTTCAATCGTCTATGGGCCGTGACCTTTCCTGTCTCTTACCGTGAACGTCATACGAAGCAACTGGCCGTGCGCATCTGTCTTGGCGCTCTGCTGGCTGTCCATATTGTCAATTTGCCGGCATATCTTGTTGACATGTTGCACATTTATCCGCCATTTTACTACAAAATTAAGGACTGCCACCAGATATTATCACCGGCTATTGCATACTGGAATCGCGTGGGATACGTCGTAAACCGGTTTTCGCCATTGGCGTTTATTCTGGTGGCGTACCTGCACATCATTGTGAAGCGATGGCGTCAACGACGAACAGGATTGGCTGACGGGAACGTTAAGACGGCATCCACACCGGCTACTGATCCAGGTAAACCCGGAGGCGAAAGAGAACCGGTCATTGTGCAGCGCCCCCGAAAAGAAACTGTAAGCACCCAGCGGTCCAAAATCAAGCCATTTGTCGTGTTAACACTAACGTCCATTAGCGTTATTATCTGCTGGCTGCCAGCGGATGCTTATTTCTTCATTTTAACCTATCTGAATGTCGGATTTTCGAGAGATTTTTTCATCGTCATATCCACATTGTATTCGGTTCAAATGATTTTTGATCCACTGATGTGGATCTGTAGCTTACGCAAATAGTTTGAATTTTCATTACGCAAATTCTTGTTCCTGAAATATTTACTGACTCGCACAATCCAGCGCAGTTCGCTTGGGCTTCAAACTCATCTGACAGAAAATAACCAAATCTGGTATAGTATCACATACGTAGGTATTTGGCATAAAACTTACGGACATTTATTGTCCATTTCGCTGCGCATGGAAAACTTATAATGTGAGTATGTGTTATCAAGTTTCGCGCAAGATTGGCAAACGGAAGTCCCGCACGTGCGAGGAATGCAAAACAAAATAATGAATAACATATTTATTTTACCTGAGATTGACTGCTGGATATTATAACATCATGACGCAACATGCCTGAGTTACCTACTGATAAATTAATCAAGAAAGTCAGCGAAAATGACGTCCCAAGGGACTTAAATTTTTTTAGCCGTCTCCTTGGCTGGCCGGTCACACATAATTCTGGCCAGTTAAATACTCAAAGCTGTTCGTTCATTCGTACTTGTCTGTTTCTCCACAAACCTGGCGCGTTTTTCAGCAGTCGACTAGTACCATCAGCCAGAGGCGCCGAAAATCTTATGGAAACACCAGTGGACAGTTATTCTTGCATCCTGATTAGTCACAGCAACGATAATCTGAAAAAAATAAGCAGTCAAGTTTTAGCGAAATTTGAAAGCACGAGATGCAATTATAAGTTCGATCTGTGAACAGTTTTCAATGTTGACCATAGCTAGCGAACGACGCCCACATCACGGTATGATTTTAAACATAGGCAACAAAAAGGATTATTTAGAGCTTGCCAACTATAAAGCAGGAACATCCCAGATCCTGTTGCATTAATCCCGCGCTGTGATTGGTATCGAAAAGCTTACCGGTGTTGACATGTACGCTACGTAGAACAGCAGCGTTACCCACTGTCTACCCTAGCCAACGGATATCGAGCCGGCGCATTCGGAACCACTGCGAGAAAGATGGGACTCGCCGCAAAACCCAGCAGATGGATGACCGATACCAAAAACAATCCCTTAGCCTGTGTTATACGTCGCTCATTTCGTTTTCGGCTTTCTACGCCCTGCATTGTTTAACCGGACCGCTCATTCTGCGAACCCTGCGACACGACCTGCACCTTTCGTGAACGACTTATGGATCAAGACACACATAAACAGTATGGTGTACATCAAACAAGTTGCTGACAGGGGCAGGTACATTCCAAATATCGAACTAATCAGAAAATCATATCCTGGTTGAATCGTGCAGACTTTACTCGTGGCTGAAAAAAGAAACCTCCTTCGACAGTGTGCAAGCGCAGTGTGGTCGCCAGCCCGATGGTCCACGGAATAAGCAGCTGAGTAAAAATCACCGGTGATGTTATCCAGTGTTTGTAGCTAAACGGTCGCGTAACTCCGATGAAGCGGTTCACCGCGATAATGGCAAATCCACACCAGGTGCCGGTTAATAAAGCAGAATATCCGAATTAAAAATAGCGACAAAATTCATTGGTAGCCATTATGTATGTTGGATGGGTTAAGGGAAGAAAGATGTAGTTAATCGGCCAGAAAATTAAGGTTATCAAAGATTCCATTATGACTTGATGAAAGATCAAGATGCGTGAACCGGTAAGATGCTGCATGAAAATGCTTAACCATTGCGCCGATGAGAAATACATTGGAAAAAAATGTAGCAGGTATGAAACTGATGCAGCTATGAAAAAAGGAACATTTGGTGAGGAAACTGTGCGGCTAGAAAAGTTGCCAGATTGTATCACAGAAGAAGAATTATAAGAAGAGTTCATTTCTACCAACTCTAACTCAAGCGGCATACTACAATACTACTACTCAACACACTTTACGAGATATGCACATATATGTAAATTATAATTTCCTACAGTCTGTACTGCTAACCTATTCTCGGACGTAGAACTTATGCAGAAACAAAATGGCGCTGTATAGAGACCATCGGTGGTTTTTAGCGGAATAAATTTCAGCATCCGATAGAAGAATGTCCGCTTTGATTAACTGCTAGCAGAGCGTGTAAATTAAAAGGAGAGTACTTTTAGAACGTAACTGTAACTGACGCAACTTGTACTACAAATATTATCGATCTCAAGGCGGAACACCGTCGCAGACGGAACAAGGGTTAACGGTGTGTGAAATCTATCTAAAACGCTGGCGTGATTACTGCTACGGTATTGACAAGAACAATAGCGCACCCGTTGTCTTAGTTGACGACGCAAAGCACCTGCGGTGATAGAAAATCAGCAACGTTGATCAATTAAGGATGGCACGCCCTATCATTAAACGTTCACAGAGTTTGAAACTGTTACCGAGCACCGGTACTGGCGGTACACGAATCGCATTCACTGCATATATACTTGCGCGGTGTTTGGTGCCTGATCATGATCATACCGTCATACGTGATAATATTTTTAAAGAAAACTAATAAATCTTAACATTGCCAGGTCTTAATGCGTAGCGACTTGTTGGCCGTTCATGCACGCTTGTATTTTTTTCCACGTCGATTGTACTCGGCGTGGTCAATTTAATGCTGCTTTCTATGTTTATCTCAGTATTCATGCTCTCTGGTAACTGTTACGACAACTCTGCTCCGTAAGTGCTCTTTATAAATCAAATCAAAGTAACAGCAAAAAAATGTAGCAGGTATAGATTTACGAACATATATAGATTTGCGATAGATTGAACAAGTGATACGGTTAAGGCTTGTTCAATCTATCGCAAATCGGTTAAGGCTTTTAAGGAACAAAAACAAGTGATACGGTTAAGGCTTTGTTCGCTTTGGCAAAAAAGTTAAAGCGATCGATAGTTTTGTAAAAGTGTCCTAATTTACGGCATTATTGCCAAGCCAGATTCACGTGTTTCACAATCAGCATCATTTCATCGGCAATGCTTTGAGTATTATTAGCAGCAGAAGATGCAACCGATGCCTTGAAAGCACTTGTGCATTATAACTCTGACATCCTGGTTGGTCACAGCAACGACAACCTGTACAAACAGATATATTAAATTGTTTAAATTTCAGAGAAATCAAAAACTACTGTAATATTATAATATGACATGCAATGAGCGATATTACTGTAGAAGCCTTACCGGTGTTGATAAATAGGCTACATAGAACAGCAGCGTTATCCACTGTCTGACCAACGGATAGCGGATGGGTGCGTCGGGAACTGTTGCAAGAAAAATCGGGCTAACGGCGAAGCCGAATAAATGGATAACCGATACAAGGAATAACCCTTTCGCTTGTCTAATGCGTCGCTCATTCCGTTTGCGGCTTTCCGCACCCTGTGGAATCTGACCGGACCGTTCACTTTGCGACACCTGCGTTAACGCCTGCACCAACACCTTTCGCGCATGACTCTGCATCAAAATCCCCAGAAACAGTCTAACATACACCAGACATGTCAATGCTAAAGGCAAGTACACTCCAAAGATTGAACTGATCAGGAAATCATATCCCGGTTGGATCGTGCAGACTTTGCTCGTTGGTAAGAAAAAGAAACCGCCTTCAATGATATGCAATCGCGCTGTTGTCGCCAGTCCGATAATCCACGGAATGAGCAACTGGGCAGCGATCACCGGTGCTGTTATCCAGTGCTTGTACTTAAACGGTCGTATAACGGCGATGAATCGGTTCATGGCAATAATGGCAAACCCGCACCAGGTAGCGGTTAATGTGATGGAATACCCGAAATAAAAATATCGACAAAATTCATCGATAATCGTTATAAATGATGGATGGGTTAGAGGAAGCAGAATATAGTTAACCGGCCAGAAGAGTAAAGTTATCAGCGATTCCATTATAACTTGATGGAAGATTAAGATACGCGAGCCGGTAAGATGGTGAAAATGCTTAATCATTGCGCCGATGAGGAACAGGTTTGAAACCAAATGTATAAGATACAAAACAGATGCAGTTATAAAGAAAGGAATATTAGGTGAAGAAATTGTGCGGCTGGAGAAGTTGCCAGGTTGTAGTCCAGAAGAATAACCAGAAGTGTTCATTTTAAAAGTACTGTAGTGCAACCCAGTTTATGCACAGGAAATATACAGGGTTTAGTGGAGCTGCCTTTAATATTATAATAATGCCCGGCAGATGAAGAATCTGTATATAAAACCAAATGACGCTAAAAACGCTAAACAAAATGGTAGAACGAACTAGCGTTCAGCTTTATGGAATCAGGTAAAAGGATGCCCCGATGCGACTGACTGCCAGCATGTCTAAAAGAATTAGACGAAAAAGAACGTCTTTTTTAGAATGAAGATTTATAGAAAGCTCCCAGCAGATTAAAAAACGGCGATACCTTTCCGTTAAGAGTAAATCGATACAGTACAGATACTCATCACAATTACGGTGCAAGCCATTGTTCAAAATCAGAACAGAACGAATACTTGTTAACGGGCGTGTGAAGCGTTCTGATTAACAACAGCACTACTGCTATACCATCAAGCTCAACTGAAAATTTGTCCTTTGCCCAGTTGTTCACTCTAGCTACCCGCACAGGTTAGAAAACGGAGCGACGTCGCTTCCATTATTAAATGAGTTCATAATTCAAGATTCAAAATAGTGCTGTGCCAGTGACGTGTTTCGTAACTCTGTCAGCATCCCTTTACTGTATAAATACTGCATGTGCGCCATCCCATGTGTTAAGGCTGTTTTGTATCATTCCTTAATTTACTGTTTTTCCGTTAGCGTCTCAAGATTATACGCCCATTACATAATTATGACGGCGTAGGCGGCGTCACAATATTTTCCAAAGCGTAAAGGAGCTTTACAATGTAACGCTGGTAGAAAGGTTGGCAGGAAAACTGTGGAGGAGCTGCTGATCACATGAGAATTTTCATTATGCTTAGTGATAGCTGTATCTCTTGTTAAAAAAAGGAACTGAAGGAATGGCTAAAGGCTAGTAATATCAAACAAGCAGGCCTGTAATAGATTGTATGCTTTGAGGAGCTGGCATTATCAGTTACTGTAATAAGGATAATTCTGTGCATCACGTGATAATATTGCAGTGAATCAATAGTCAATATCATGGCAATGTAAAGCTGTTCAATAATTTTTGCATGAAATCGTTTATGCCTAATACGATAACGACACCTCCCGCCTGGTACAATACACTTAACGCTAATAGAATACCCGCAATAACATCCACAGTAAATACGAGTGATATGAGTAACGTTTCCAGTAAAGCATCCGCCCCGGTCTAGTAACGAGTAAACGCCGTTTGCTGCTATCATTCCGTGGAAACAGATCACTATCATCGGAGCAAAGATTAACCGTAACCGCAAAAACCACAAGAACTTCCATCGTGCATGTCATGTTAAAGCAAACCACAAAGGCTTACCGCATTGCACATTCACAAAACTTGTTGTTATTCGACATCAGCTTACGTGTTTCTTAAAAGTTTAGGCTGTATTGCTGTAAAGACTGAAAACCATTGAATAATAATATTATCTGAGAAGATCAAGAAATGAAGCAAAGTTTGCAATTATTTGTGTCGTTGGCGCTGTTTCTGTTGTCAAAATTATTCATTGAAGGTACGATCGACATTTAAATTTCTCAAAAGCATACCGTGCTGATACAGTTATTTTTAATTTTGCAGCTCAGTGTAAAAGTGTTTTCAGGCGTGACACGTACGCTTTAAAGGAGAACTGTCTCTTTTATTTTTCCACCAACGACGACCATCGCTTAGAGAAGGATTTCGACTGCTACGCCAATACAACGCATGAAGAGGCCACACCTATCATCACTAAAGCCGAGACCAAGTTGGACACCCACTCGGACCTCCGGGTCCGTCTACATTTAGCCGATGGGGACAGCTACCGTCCCGAAGTCTTCCAGCCAATCGCCGAGAAGATTATTATATTCGGCCTATTCGGTTGCCAATCGTCTACCGTCACCACGAAACTCCCATCGCTAGAATTCACGAACATGGAACGATTCAGTCTCCAGGATTGTCCAGCTCTGCAGATAAAAAAGACAGATTTCAGTCCGTTTAAGGAGCTGAAAGTGATTTATTTTGCCAAGTCAACCATTGCATCCTTGGAGGCGGGGACGTTTTTTGATTTGCCAAATTTATTAGTACTGGGCTTAGAGTTTGGGTGGGGCTTTGAGAAGAGCTTTACCACAGAACAAAATGCACAGCTGAAGAAACTGCATTGTGACTGCGACAGCAAATGGTTTTGGGGTGGACTGAAAGGTAAAGCGTTTGGGAATATTACAGATGGACAAGAGCAGTGGCTGGTACCGGTAGATTGCTCCAAGAACCAATGGAATCCAAGTGACATTACATGGAACCAGACGGAAATCACCATTAACAAGCTTTGTTGAAGTACAGCACGTTCCTTAATTCTAATTTTTAGCCCTATTATACCGAATACATTCTTTGCCGTTTTGGCTTTTATGATACTTATACCTCTCCATAGCGGCTTTTTAAACCGCAGTTTTCCTTCCTTTACTGATGTGCAGACTGCATGCAGATGTATAGAAAAATCAAAGGTGTATCAATAAACGTCTTGGTTTTACTGTCTCATAAATCGAGTACAAACCGTTTAGAATCTGCACATTGTTTACGTGTAGAATGTACAGGAAGTCACCATCTAACTACTTGCACTCATAAGCTTGGAAATTTGATTTCAAATTCGTCCAAATTATGCAAGCGCATAATTGGAAAGATCGGTCGACATTGTAGAATTTTTCAGCTTTTAAGTGGCGCAGCGTGCGATAGTCTCGTAAATTAAGACAAAAGGAAATGCTTCCACTGCTTTGGTGAAATGAGATACGCCAAAATTCACCATTCATAAAATATTCCGATATTCCGATTTTTTCGGACAGTATTCCATTATCAGTGAAACTGCTGGCATTTCAAATCCAGCGGAAGACATTCAAGCCTTTTAAGATTTTGGTTGAGTGAAATGCTTGCCTGTTGGCCCGTAGCATCCAAAGCCACAAGCGGTAAATTATTCGGAGAGATGAAATGCGACAGCGGTTCACAAGACCCGATTATTTATCACCCTAAATTAGTATTTTGTTACTGATAAAATATTTCAGGTTATTAACAACTGGGGCTTATTAAGCGTTATCGAAGCAAATATTTGTCAAATTTCACAAGAATGGACCGAAGCGGAAGCGATTTCACCAGGATCTCAGTCAGACAACTTCAAGAGACTGTCCCAGTTACCGGGTTAGCATGCTTTAAGGAACAAACACCTGGCTTTATTAGTAGCGGCAGTCGAACGCATTCGATTAAATCTTAACAGAAGGCTGCTTCAAAAATTACGGAGAATACTGCGGAAGAAAATCTGGAATGATGCAAAATCAAGAGCGGAACCGTACGCCAATCCGATAATTCTGGTAAATTTCCCGTCACTTCCTGCGGCAGCAAATTCGATGCCATTAGTGACAACATTTATAGGTCGATTGTTGTCTCTTTTAAGCGACACAAAAATGCACTGCCTCAACAATTATGAGCTATGACTACACAGTACACTGTATGTCTGCAGCGTCTCGATCAACATAAACTGTGACTGTCTTCGAAGGAAGCAGCCTTTTTTCGCCTACTTCGATATTCTTACTAAAATCCTGGTAAAAATGACTGACATTGACAACGCTACGAACGTTACGGCACTTGGATTCGACGGCAATTTTACCAACATACGGTGGAACTTTTTTGCTGGTTTCAAGGTCTTCACCAGTACAACCACCACTATTCTCAATGCGGGAATTTTGTCGTTGCTTCTTGCCAGACGGAATCTGCACACGCAGTTCAACATTTATCTAATGAATCTCCTTATTGCCAACCTGGGTTATCTGCTGTTATCGGCATTCTACGACACGATTCTGTGGATGAAGCCAAATTGGTGGCCGGGAAATATGTTATGTGATGTGTGCCTCTATGCTATCAACAATCCGTCAACGTGCGTTATTTGGTCGGAATTCTTGATCACCAGCAACCGCATCTGGGCGGTGACCTTTCCTCACTCGTACTACCAACATCACTGCAGGCGCGTAGCCATTGTTACGTGCGTTGTCATGTGGATCGCGGTGCATGTTGTGTGCCTTCCTGCTTTAATAGTCGATTCCTGGTGGTATCGTCTACCCGGCGAAGTGTGCGGGTGTCAGTCTAACGACGCGGCACAGCTACTGTACTGGCAAATTCTAGAACCGGTGACTATCGACTTGCCGGTTGTTTTCGTTATCATTTCTTATCCTTTTTTGCTTTGAAAAACGGTGAAACGGAGACGGAATAAAGTTAACCGGCTTGAATTTGGATGATCGGCAGCGAATGCGCTCGACCAATCCGGCTAGTAGCGGTAGCAATCGGGCAACGGATGAGGCGGCCATCGTATCCGATGTACAACGCTCTCGCCAAAGGGAAAACCGGACTGCCTTCACCGTTTTGACGTTGCTGACCATCGGTGTCGCATTGTGCTGGATGCCTGGGACTTTGCCCCTGTTAGCCGCCAGGTTTGGCGATTACAAATTCCCCGAAGAATTAGTTCAGTTCGGCAACTGGGTTCAGGAAACACAGGCTTTCTTCGATGCATTGACCATCGTGGTCGATGTGAAAGACGTGGGGAAGGCGATTAGGAGTCTGTTTTGCGCATTTTCGGTGGTCTAACGCGAACGACGCGCTGCATAGGGAGTTACACGAAAGGACGACAGAATCTGTGGACTACATCGACCACTGCTCTAAAATGACTGCTGAGAACGTAACGTCGCCGCTACATGACTCGCAACCCATGCGTTAATTATGAATTAGATGGGCGTAACAGAAGCGCAAGTGTTGCTGTTATTTTTCGGTAAAATATTTTGAACAACTACAATGCTCCGTTTTAACGTATTTTTCGCAAATAAGTGTTTCAGCGGCCAAACACAGTGCCGGCGTTTTGTGCGCATTTGAGGTGTCTTTATCACATACTGTGTACGTGATGCTTTTAGAACTAAATTTTTTAACGCGGATCAACTGGCTGACCTTTTTTGGGTCTTATATTGTACCCTGTAACTTCGCGGTACAATATTAAAGCGAATGAATGTTGTCTAAGCGGTTCACCATGTGCGACTACCTGTTCTGACCAGCTCACCATGCGCGCAGCATGACTAGATACATTTATCGGAAGCTGCCCGTTCTGTTTCTAAACCTGATTTTAATTTGGGTTCTTCTTCCGTCCTTACAGGACGACGTCTAATAAATTAGGCCTGCGATCTGGCCGCACAGTGAACTGGTGTTTCTCGAGTCTGGTAACAGCTGTTTCGTGACCTCGCATCCTTTTGCAACCTGAACAGTCGATTGCTCCTTGGAAGCGCTGTATAAGCAGTTCCAGTTGGGATGCTTTAAGAGCATCGTTTTAATAAGCATCGCTTTAAGAGCATCGGGCAACCGTTCCGTTGCAAGGACAACAAACAACTTCCATTATTATTAATATGTATGCACGGAGAAGGTTCCATCAAAATACTGCTGCTGCATCGCTTTTGCTACTGAATCATTCAGTCCTTGACAAGACTTCTACGGCTTATTAATTTTCTAATTTTGGTAGCTAAAGTAATGCAATTAGCCACCGTCCCATCAGTAGATATAGAATCTATATAACAAGCGGAGGTATAAGAGCGTGTGACCTTTACCAAATGGTGTTCATCACTTCATTTCATAACATACGGAAATCATACAATTCCTGCAGTAATAAAAAACGTGCGTCTCGGATACTATGACTATAATTAAAAGCGTAAATAGATCCATTATTAGCAGATTCTACGATATGTATGGCTTGTGGAACAATGCGATACAAGATGCGCGCAATAACGACTAAGATCGAAATTCGGGGAAAATCTGTAATTTAAACTGTGCATGTTTATCTTCAAACAATTTTATCATGTGCCTGCCTACAGCCACGCTCAGTGACGGTACAGATCTACCAACCTGAAATATCGACATTATTGACGATACTTGCTCTATGTGGAGTACGCAAAAGCATGCAAACAATATACGAGTACATAAGTTCACCTTCAGCAATACCAATATGGCAATATCTAATTTAAAGGTTTTTCTTTATTGTTACTCAAAATTACTCACAAGTCGCAACTGGGTTTGTTTACTTTGTTGTATACATAGTAGTTTTTTTATTCGTGATTTCGCAGACAGCATCATTAACAAAAAAATCGAAAAGAAAAGCGACTGCAATCGACGAGGGTATAAAAACTTACCCAAACGAACAAATAAGCCGATCGCCCAACAAATCAATAGGGATTAAAGATCCGATTCAATTTCAAGTCCGAGCCGCTATACGTGTACAATGTACAACACACGGACCTAAAAGTGTCTGGTTACACATACAATATACGTACCGTGTATCGCACTATGCTATCAATATTCCCAGATCCCAAGGCATGCCTCTACTAGCATTCCACTCGGGAAGTACCTACAGCCATTTTTTTATTCTTTAATAGACTGACGAGTACACTTCCACACACTTGTGGTTTTCCCTGATGCCATTAAATATGCGGCAAAATATCATGGGTTGTGTAGTGATGGGCACCGTTCGCTATGCGTTCGCCATAATAATCTCGTTAGACTCATCGTTAATGACGGTTTCTGCTGTTGTTCAACCACGCGTTCTAAATCATATTTTCGGCTATAAAGGTAACCTAATCAAAGCCGTCCAGCCTGTATTTTTCGGATAAACTTATTTTTGTTTTTCTCCTCAGCAGCGCGCTGTCAACCTGACGAAATGCTGTGCAACAACCAACAGTGCGTGTTGGAGAAATGGCGCTGCGACGGGATCAGCGACTGCCAGGACGGGACAGATGAGTTGTTCTGCACATTGTGCCCGGCAGGCGAACACTCCTGCTCTACCATTCCCAATCGCTGCCTGCCCGGTAGTTGGCGGTGTGACGGGATTGTGGACTGCGAAGACGGCAGTGATGAGATGGAGTGTCCACCTTCGTTGTGTCCGGAGAGTCATTACAGTTGTCACTCTGGACAGAAATGTTTACCGCGCTACGCAGTGTGTAACGGCGTGGTGGACTGTGTGGGCGGGGATGATGAAGATGCCGAGCTGTGTCCCCACGGCGGGCGGTGTGAGAAAGGTCACATTGCTTGTGAGGACCGGAAGCAGTGTGTACCGTGGTTTCAGTGGTGCAACGGTCGGCAGGACTGTGAAGACAACTCAGATGAGAATAATCAGCGGTGTCCGGGTGCAAGGATGATCAGCGAGCAAATACGGATCGACGCAAATGATGTTCGTAATTTTCCTGTTTATATTTTACGGGTTTTGGTTTCCAGTCGGGCTGGCAAGCGGTAGTAACCTTGTAGAGATGTTGTGGTGTATATATTTTGTATAGTTTTACACAACCCTTGATCTGTGGCACCAGAAGGAGTACTGTAATACGAGTAATTTGTTGCCGCACTGGCTGTATTTCAGCACGCTTTTGCGGCAACTTTGCTAACTGCAAGGTTGTGTACTAATATCTGTACTTAATATTTAAAACAAAAAGGACACCGCTATTTCTTGGTAACTTTTCCTCTGGCTCTAAAAAATAAATTTTTCCTATGCTTTTGAATCAAAAATAGTTGAAATAAGACATTGTCCAGCGTCGAGAGTAAATTTTCTTATATACGAACACCACAACGTATAATTAGAAAAAAGGACGTTTATTATTTTTACTGAGCCTACTCTATAGATGCATATAAATGTATAAAGGGTCACTGTTGTCTACTATTCAAGTCTTTAGTATATATTTTGAATTTTAATGAACTAGAAATCAATGGCAGTCAAAAATGCCGTACTAAACGTACGTCGGTACATCCCAAGACGTTGTGATCCATTCGTCCAAGCTATGGTGCATTGTTGATTGATGAAAAAGTTAATAGAGACTATTAGAATAGGTATACTGGATATAAAATACGAGGTATAAATTGTACGATAAAATATTCAATCTGACATCACTTATCCGCAAAAGCTAAGGTTGTCCTATTAGAAAAAGCACGTCGTATCGAAAGTGGAATGTACTTTCAAAAAATAGTATCAGATGGTGTAACTGTACGTATTGTACACCGGTACACTAAATAGGTATACCGCAATAAATTTTACCAAACAAATAAATAGCCTGAAGACTATCTTAGAAATACACGGTTATTGGGGCCGAACGTACGCTGATCAGGCAATGTGCACGTGAATTCAGAAATAAACTAAATTGCCACCGCCGCCGCTCTATGTGCAATGAAATCTTTTGCCGTCAAATCGGAACAATTCCCGACATTTCCGTTACCGGTACGTTTGCAAAATGCAATGCTTTTTTGGTTTGATTTTATTTTATTCACGCAAAAATAAATCGTCACACATCTTATTATCCGCAGTGTCCTTTCCGGGTTGGTTATTTCTTGCTCTAATTTGTATGCACATTTGCTGATTTGTAGGCAATTTATCTCCGTTGGAAGATCTGATGTTAAAGTTTATTCCCCTGCCCAGGCGTTTTGGGCGTCAACAATCAGACAGATAGGTAAAAACGTTCTTTTTCTAAATAATTTTTTTATAAAATTAAATAAACTGCATGATAAAAAATAAATTCTGAGCACAGTTAAAATTATACATTAAATAATCGCCGCGCCAGTAATTTAAGTTAATCGTACTAGATGAAGTTATCACAATAATTCACTCAGTATGATTACTTTACTGTGAGTATACTGTACTTAGTGTGCTATACCATCAACAGATTTGAACATACATAAAACCGTCTTGGGTAGAGTTAGTTTTCATACTATACTATACTGGAATACTGCGTACTGGTGCATCTGCGGAATAATAGCTTCAGTTGGCAATGCTTCCGAGTCAGTGTAATTCAAATTTTTCCTTAGAAAAGATTACAGGTAACACATAAACAGAATTACCGATGCAATTTTTATTTTGCATGGTTAAGTAAAACAGCATGCGACTTATAATGTTACGCCTTTTACAGAGCTCTGTAGTTCTTGATACATTACGTAACAGATCAAATACGTTGTACGTAGTTGAACTGAGAATTGAAAGTTATTCAGTTGAAAGTAAATGACGTTGCGATTATTTTAACAGAAATGAGCAAACCTTTACTGTACAGACTGTAAAAGTAGACAGTATCGTGCCACATAATAAAACATGACTATGCATAAATACTGTACATGTATATGGCACAAATTGTGGAAAAACGAGCGCTTGCCATCAAAGAAAACGCGCGGTTTTTCTGCCAGTGTAATGATGAGCTGTGTGTCCGGCAGCGGTGGCAAATGTTTGATTTAATGTTCAGACGTCACTTCGATCAGTGTAAGCGTCTGCCGGAAAAAAGAATTGAAACTTTACTGAGTCAAATACAGAGAAAAACCGGTAATAATTTTCAGGATTAGTCAAAGTTTTATTGAGCAATGACTGCGTGCTGTGGTCGCTTCTTACACGTACCTGCCTACTTATCTGTAAAATTAATAACCGCTAACAAAATTAACCGTACTGGATGGTGTCACCGCAATAAGTTCATGGTCAGTAATGACTCAGTATTATTACTTTACAGTGCATGTACAACGTACAAACACCTACTAATAACATAACTATGTTTTTGTCTTAATAGCGCGAGTGGTTTAGCTGGTATCAATACAAATGCGCGGCACAAAAAAATCTAATCCTCACAATCAGTATACATGCCGTGCTTATCAGTTTGATTACCTATTAGCGTTGTACATCTATAATTTAAAATATTATGTTATACTAGTACAGTATTATGTATATTATATTTATATAGATATTATTTTGAATGATCCTTTCAGTGCAGTTGGTCATTAATTTCACTGTAGCACTAACAGTAGCAGTCGAGTGAGAATGTAAAAATTAAAATACAAATTTTAAAAAATTTAATATTTTAGCATTGTGAAATCAATTGAAATCAATTACTCTACTGCAGAGTGTAGACAGTGTGTACTGTACGTACTGTTGCATTGAAAATCAATATTAAAAATTACTGTATTAAAAACAGCGGACCGTCCACAGTACGTACTGCAGTATTATTAAAGTACGTACGTAGTACGTACATATACGTGCGTCATGGCCGGTTCTGTACATTGAGGGCCCGTCCACCAGTTCAATATGAATACTCGTCGTATTCACAGCGCGGCAGTGTTTCGCGATTTTCGCCTCATTCTACAGGTTGTACCATATTTTGCACTGTGCTGCTCTTAGAATAATTTTCCTATGTTTTTCCAAGTAGCGTTCTTAAATTTCCCACATTCTAAAATACTGTACCATCCCGTTCCCCTTGCAGATTTACTGCTGCTGGCTGCTCCAACCTTTCGCAAGCTGAAGCACAGTGTTCTCCTCTTGCAAATCGTCCCTGCAGTCCAGTCCATCAGTGTCTGTCTTGCAGTGCTGACAAATCACCACCATGTCCAGCCTGAATCAGCCACCCTTCGCCACTGACGATATCTCCGGTGTCCAGGACGGGCAGTCTCCCATCCGGCCTCAGTCAGATCCCATTCCAAGTCCGCAGAATCCCCATCCAATCTCGGCATCAGTCGGTTGCCAGGTGGAAGATGACGCTTTCCCCATTCCAACCACATCCACCCTGGACCGTGATCCTCTTCCCTCTTCTTCGCTCCCACATGCCCATTTTCACGTGGATGTCGAGGAGAAGCAGCCGACCGTCCAGCTGCACGGGATCCTGCGCAAAACGCCCAGCAGTAAATTCGGCAGTCAGTATTCCGTGCGGGATGGTGAGATGGGCGCCAGTCAGCAGAGTCTGCACGCGTCGCAGCAGCTGTTTGCGGACAAATCACGGGCGGCATCGGTCTTGTCGGAGACGGCCAAGAAGCGCGCGGGCAGCCGCTTGGCACTCTTCCATCTCGGCGGCAAAGACCACGAGGAGCATGCGTACGCGCCGTCCGACGCGGGATCGTCGTCCATTCATGACGTGGTATGTCCATTATCCATTGTCCAATCGGTATTTTTCAAGTGAAAAATCATTAATTTATCTTGTAAAAAATTACCAATAATAATAAATATTTTTTTTGTTATGCTTACATACTATAATTAGAGGCTAAGTTTTAACGCTTGCATTAAATTTATTTTATGAATATTAGTGGCTGCGTAATAAATTTTACAATACAAATAATCTGCGCATTATTCAGACATTTTTTCTGTTTTCAAATAACGAATTAATTATCCAATTATACATCATAGTTATAATGTGCATTTTACGGGTTAGTTATGATGATAGTTATAATGTTATTATGATAGTTATAATGTGCATTTTACGGGTCTGTCCTGTTTTCAGTTCTTTGCTATTTCGGTATTGAATCGCTTTTATAGATGACATTATAATTCATTTCATAGTTACTGTAATACAAGATGCTGTAAGATTTATAATGCTATTGATATTGTAATATTAAAAAAATTGATATTGATGTTTTAATATTCAGTTATTATTGATATTTTAATAATGCTATTGATATTTTATTATTTTTTATTTATTCTGTACTCTCTTGCAAAGTGTTCAGAGTCGTTCCTACAACATTGCAGAAGCACACTTCCTTTGGTCCACTAATCCTCGATCATAGTGACACGGAAGATTCTTGGTGGCGTCGATGTCTCTCCAAGAAGAAATCCGTGACGCGCTCGTTCACCGTGGAAGAACTGAAAAAGGATTTAACTATGGTGCGGTGGAGTAACAATATTTATCAGTGAATCAATTTCTCTAATATCCCGAGTTACATATATTATTTAAATCTTGAAAAATTAATAATCACACATCATTCTATAATTTTGTTAATAATAATTTCATTATTCATACATCATGTTACAAAATCGGTGCATCAAGGTACTTCCGGTGCTTTTGCGTCTAATAGAATGTTTTCTCTGACAGACGGAGCACCTGACCCCGCTGGATAATCTGTACGCCCAGTTGGATGTTAACCCGCAGACGGTAAATTAAATTCAACAAAATTAAATTTTATTTTATTAAATTACTGAATTAGTGCCAATAATTACCGCCGCTGATTGCGCTGCTTTTCTTAATTTAAAATAAATTCATTGCGTTATTCTCGGACGCAGGGTGTCTCGGAGGAAGAGGCCAGTGCACGGCTGCTGCGCGATGGGAAAAACATCCTAACTCCACCGAAGAAAGTGCCGGAAATCGTTAAGCTGTTGGGTGGTACGTTTCTGTGCACGGCGCCAGTTGTCACGTGTCCCGATCTAGTATTAAAAATTTAACTTTTCTGCTTCTTTAATTTAGAATTTGTTGGTGGCTTCTCTCCGTTACTGGAAATCGGGGCGCTTCTCTGTTTCATCGCTTTCGGAATCCAGGTTTGATTTTGCAATAAATTCATTGTTTCCTCGTAATACGTTAAATTTAAAAAAATGGTTTTCAGGCGGGCACATCACCGGACGATTTCCCTTACGATAACGTACGTATGCAGTAATAATTTTAAGTTCAAGTGTAAATGGCTTTTAGCTTGTACAATTTGTCAATAAAGCACCATAAATAATAATTTAATTCAGTAATTAGTTAGTTAGTAAAATTATAGCAATTATGCAGTTCCGCTAAAAAAATACATAATACTAAGTACTCAGTAGTAAACGGTAAATAATAAAATATAGTAACAGTCAAAGTGTGTAAAACGATGACCGCAATAATGTGAAGGCAGTTTGACGGTACGTGAATGTTGCTGAAATCGAAAAAAGTATGGAATTTATTTCTCAATATGTACAAAGTGAGCTTCGCTCAGCAGTTATAATCAAATGAAGAATTTGTCCCAATTAACGTGAGAAGGGACTGTGCACAACACACTCATAGCATTACCGCGCATAATCTCCAAACTTAAACGTTGAAACAAGAAACAAGTCGAGCGACTCTCGCCCGTTCTCAAAAAAGTTATTTATTTATCCGGGCTGACAGTTGTTTGATGTTATTCGTATTTCGTACAGCTGTACCTGGCCATTGTTCTCATCGTTGTCGTCCTCATCACCGGCGGATTCCTGTATGCTCAAAAAGCTAAAAGCGAGCGCATTATGGAGGGCTTCAAGAAGATGCTACCACAGAGTGCGACGGTGTTGCGAAATGGAAAATTGATCGAAATTGCCGCGGAAAATGTGGTGTTGGGCGATATTGTGGAAGTGCGCGCTGGTGATCGCATTCCGGCGGATATTCGCATTCTCGAGTGTAAAACGCTGAAGGTGCGTACTGCATAAAGTGAGCCTTGTATTTAGCGCGTTTTCCAACCACACAAGGGTATAGTTCTCAATATTTAAAGAATTAAAATTTCCCGGTTTTGTAGCCTACTTATTTCTTCAATAATACGTTTCTAATTCATCAAATTAAATATTTTTTAAAAAAACACGTTGGAAGATAAATATTATGTAGATTTGTACTTGTACGGCGGCATTCTGAAATATTCTGAGTGGGAATAGGAATATTCCTTCTGGCAATAATAATTTATTTCCTGTGAAAAGTTTTGCTTTATTTAATTTTTGATTTATTTAACATTGCCTAAAATATTATAGTCATTCAATTTTTGGAATTTAGTGTTTATTTTATAAAACTCCTGCTTAGATTTTCACAAGGCATTTAAATGAATTAGTAATCGAAATTTAAGCAAAGATAGAAATGGATATTTCATGGTGACGGTTATATCGTAGGTCGATAATTCCTCTCTGACCGGCGAATCGGAGCCGCAGTCGCGCAGTCCCGAGAGCTCAGAAGATCCACTGGCCTCCAAGAATCTCGTCTTCTACACGTGCAACGCCGTGGAGGGATGGGGGCGGGGCATCGTCGTCAAGCGCGGCGACAACACCGTGATGGGCCGCATCGCCAAACTGACCACCCGCCTGGACACCTCCGAGACGACTATTGCTCGGGAGATGCGCTACTTCGTCATTCTCATCTGCGTGCTGGCGCTGACCATGGGTGTGCTGTGTATTGCGGTGGCACTGGCGCTCGGCTACGGCGGTTTCTACGCGGTTATTCTGGCTATCGGACTGGTCGTCGCTAACGTGAGAAAAAGTTATTATTAAAAATGCACAAATACCCCTCAAAATATTAAAAATTAATAACAGATGATTATTAATCAAAATTGAGTGCAGTAAAATATATTATCCTAAATCTGATTAAGCTTAGAAAATTTTCAAACTTGAAAATACGAAAAAAAGATTAATTATAAATCGGTCTTTATTATAAAAAATTAATAAGTGTATTAATTATAAACATTGGCTGGGATAGAAGTAGGCGAAACATCGACACAGACTCTGATTATTTCGTATTTGCACTGGTCTTTCTCAAGGAATATTAATGATAGCTTTTTAACGAAGGTGCCGGAAGGTATCATAATCACCGTAACCGTAATGCTGACGTTGACCGCCAAAAGAATGGCCAAGAAAAACTGCCTAATCAAAAATCTGGAGGCCGTGGAAACACTGGGTGCCTGCTCGGTAATCTGCTCCGATAAAACCGGAACACTGACGCAGAATCGCATGACGGTGGCTCACGCCTGGGTGGATGATCTGGTTGCCACCATCGACACTGCCAGCGAGGATCTGACCGGTATATTTAAGTGTAATAATATAGATATTGTAAAATTGATGGAACGACGCCGAGAAACACATTGCTTCTACCTTAAAAAATAGGCCAGACTTGTTAATGCCGTACAGCAAGATTACTATTTAGTAACTGGTTCATATCCACCGTTTAACGAAACCCCGGCCTCGAAATAACCTTCAGTATTTCTTAGTGCAAAATGTTACATATTTGTTTACAAAAAATGTTATATGAGAAGTTAATTATTCGCTAAAGAGATTTGTATATAAATCATTGCGGCGAAGGTACCACTTAAATTGTGGCGCCTTCGGAGCCGAAGAAGCTGTTGTTCTACGATTTAGTTGTTACTGTAGTGACGGTCACAAGTTAGACCACAGAGTAAGTTTACCGGAAAAATGCGCAGCGGATACACCTACGCTGCAAGGGCAAAATTCTCGGCTTGAATCCCATTTTACTTTTCGCATTTCATACAGCAAATGTCCATGCAATTTTAACTACTTGTTCTCCCATATCTTCCTTATCATCAGAACTCTGAAAATCATCACCACTTTCTGCGCCCATCTTGTAAGCATAGCCACCGTCAATCCCAACGCTGAACAAAAACCGCCGCCCCCCCCCCGCAGGGGCACCCCAAAAACCACAACAAACCAACATGGTATATCAGAATCAGGGCTCTGTAGGCATTACTTTCCCGCCTTCTGTTAGTTAACAGTTAATTTTTGGTATTTAAAATTAAAATTATTAATTGATTAAATAATGTGGTAAAACATGAATGTTGCTCAAGGAACTCCGATTTTAGTTTGCTGGTAAAATATCGTGAATTTCGCCCGTGCAGCGTGGGTATATACATGGTCCATTTTTCCGGTAAACGTACTCTGTGGTCTAACTTGTGACCGTCACTACAGTTACTTATCCAGCGGCTTTTAATGCGCCTGAAACTGCGGCTCCGTTTTCCTTCGTTATCGCTTAGACGCGGTATATTCACTATATTGCATTGCATCACGAAAGCAATAGACCGGCCCGAAGCAGTTTCCTTACATTGTATTTTCTGTAGCTAACAAGAAACTGATAAAATTAAGCGATGGAGCCTGACTTAATAAAACCACTTTCACCGTCACCGGAAAGTGATACCAGTTAAATGCTGCTTAAATTTTTATTAATTTTTTTATTTTATGTTAATTTTAATGTATGTCAGATGGTATAGGAAATTTGCTTTATTTTTTTATGAATATTTCAAACATTTGCTGATTTGATTTTTCAGTTATTAGTTCCGATCTAAAGGGTTATTAGATGTATCTGTATTATAAATTTTTACTGAAATTATGTTCGTTGCCTTTTAGGTTGTATTATTAGATTAGATACGGTATGGCTAGTTATGCAGCTTATGCTAGGTAGTGAATTTCGGATATTTGCGTTTTAGGTAAAGAGCTGCCGGACACTACAACATGTAAAGCCTTGTTAAACGTGGCTATTCTCTGCAATCGCGCCACCTTCAAAGATGACCAGCGCCACAAACCGGTGTACTCGCGCGACTGCAAAGGCGACGCCTCGGAGACTGCCATCCTGAAATTCACCGAGATCCTCACCGGCGACACCATGGCGGCGCGCCAGCAGCACAAGGCCGTCGCCGAGATCCCCTTCAACTCCACTATGAAATTCCAGGTGTCCGTCCACGAGACGTTGGTCGAGGGGAAAAAGCGCTATCTCCTCGTGATGAAGGGTGCTCCGGAGCGGATCTGGGACCGCTGCGCCACCATCGGGGTCAACGGCGAGACCGAGGCAAAGAATGCCTTCTGGACGGAAAAATTCAACGAGGCGTATTTGGATTTGGGGTCACGCGGGGAGCGGGTCCTGGGATTTTGCGATTATCTGCTTCCAGAGGAGGAATTCCCCGCCGGGACGGTGTTCGACTGCGAGAACCCGAATTTCCCGTTGGAAAACCTGCGGTTCTTGGGGTTATTGTCGCTGGTGGATCCCCCGCGGGCGGCTGTTCCGGATGCGGTGGCCAAGTGTCGCAGTGCCGGTGTGCAGGTGAGGAAAGGTCAAAAGTCATGTCAAACCGATTGAAACCGTAGTTAGGTAAAACGGGTTTATTTTCTCGATTTCTTAGTCATTTTTTGTGGGTTAACCAGATTCTTGTAGTCGAATCGGGAAGGTAATCAAAATAAATGATTTTTTCAAATTTAGTGATTTTTTAACCGAAGAATAAAACTGAATTTGATTGTGTCCTCTGGTGTTTTTATTTATCCCGCCCGGAATTATGTATAAAAATATGACAAAAATAGCATTTACATTTTTTCCTTGTTTTGCTGAAATTATATGAATTTTGTTGATATTTTTAGAATTGTATTATTCGTTTTGTTTTTTTTATAGCGCATTGTGCCTTTTTGATTAGTTATTGATTGTGGATTATTTATTTTATCCCGAAAGTCGAAGCGTTTTTTTAGCCAAAGTGAGTCGGTCAAATCGTTGCCATTTTTTCCGTGCAGGTGATCATGGTCACCGGCGATCATCCGGTGACGGCCAAAGCCATCGCTCGCAGTGTCGGGATCATCAGTGAGGGCACGGAGACCGTGGAGGATGTGGCGCGCCGTCGGGGCATTCCCGTGGCGGAAGTTGACCCGGCGGAGGTGCGGGCGGTGGTGGTCCATGGGAGTGAGCTGCGGGAGATGCGCGACGAGGAAGTGGACGCGGTGCTGATGAACCACGCGGAGATCGTGTTTGCCCGCACGTCGCCGCATCAAAAACTGATTATTGTGGAAGCCTGTCAGCGGGCGGGGGCGGTAGTCGGCGTGACGGGCGACGGGGTGAACGATTCGCCGGCGCTGAAGAAGGCCAATATCGGTAAGCGCTTACAGTGTTGTGTGCTGTTTAATAGCTGGTGTTTTTGCGTGTTTTTATTTATAGACGTGAGGTCTTTTTGGTTTGTGTAGTATTTTGCTTGTTTTACTAAGTATTTATTTAATTTACTTCATCTGCACAGTTTTCTGAAGGTTGTAATATTTTGGGGGTTTACGGGTAGTATTAGTATTGTGTGTACGTACGATGCGGTCGACATTACTTATGTGGTTTCGTAATGTAGTGAATGGGCTGAATCAGTGAGAATCAATATTATAGTAAATTTTCTCGGTCCAGAATCGAACCATGTGGAATAATGTTGTTTTTTTTTCATGGCCGGATTGATGAATAAATTATAAAAATACTGGAAAACAAATCAGATTTTAAAAATAAAAATTTAATATGGTGGAACGACCAAAATTCTTTTTAAATAAATTTATGTATTCGTACCAAGGTGCATGCATGTGTGGGGATGCTAGCTGAACCGCATATTTTGTTTTGTACATGCAGCTGAGCACTTTGTCCGTTTTGTTTTTTAAGGAATTGCCATGGGAATCACTGGAAGCGACGTCAGTAAGCAGGCGGCGGATATCGTGCTCCTGGATGACAACTTTGCGTCCATTGTTATTGGCATCGAGGAAGGTAAGCGCATCAGTCCGTGATCTGATCAGTCAGTGGCTGCATATACGGTACGAAGCTTATCGTAGTGTAATGGCGGACACACTTTAATTATTGCTGTCCATGTACGGCAAACATTACGCTTGTAAACCTTGATTAAATCTATTTTAAAATGACAAATTTGGATGTATATAAATATTTTTTTAGCTATATTGATTTATGTATTGAATATGCGTAACACTGTTTAATATTTTGCGCTGTGGCCTACTGGATCATTGCCATGTTTTCGAATGTCCGGCGTGTAACCGTAGTACCGTACTTGCTTGTGGTAACACTTTTTATTCTTTTGACATTGACTATGCGGAAGTAAGGATCGTATTTTAACGGTGGCGATACGGCTGCAGGTCGGTTGATTTTTGACAATCTGAAGAAGACCATCTGCTACACAATGATGTCCAATATACCGGAAATTGCTCCCGTTGTGCTGTACTTTCTGGCCAGTGTGCCGCTCGGCCTGACCACCATTCCCATGCTGCTGGTTTGTCTTGGCACAGACATGGTATGCTACAGATTATCTAGAAATAATTCAGAAAATTAAATTTTGATGCAGTTTTCTTCGTACCGGTATTTTTTATAAATAGTTAAATACTATCAATTAATTTATCAGCAATGTCATGTAAAATTATCTCACAGATGTTCCAGTTAGTAAAGTTTAACGCTCGACCAATTTGCTCCCGGCAGGTTCCGTCCATTTCGATGGCGCACGAAACCGCGGAAGCCGACATTATGAAGTTGCCGCCGCGATCGGGAGATGAGCGGCTGGTCAGCGCCCAGCTGATGCACTGCTGCTACCTGCAGGCCGGGATGATCTGCGCCGTGGGTGCGTTCTTCACGTATTTTGTTGTCTTCGGGGAAATGGGCTTCCGGCCGTGGATGCTGATCAATCTGCGCGATGATTGGGAGAATGGCGCTAACAATGATCTGGCCGATTCCTACGGGCAGGAATGGGTGGGTATTTTTTTTAAAATATTATAGTATTAGTTTTGTTCAGTAACATAGTATTTTCACCATTTTGTTAAATAACATAATATTAATTTTGTTCAGAAACATAGCCTTTTTTAATAAAATGACAACAGTTCTTTAACAAGTACATACCTGTGTCTTAGCGTGGATGTGAAATAGTGGATTTTTCCCAAATTTTTTATGATCGTTATCGGTTGTCGGGCGGTAATTGCTGCTGCTGGATGTTTTACAGACCTTCGCCCAGCGTATGCTCCTTCAGAAGAAAGTGGACTCGGCTTTCTTTGCATCCATCGTGGTTTTCCAGTGGATCGATATCATCTGCCGCAAAGTGAGGCTCTTAATTTTGCTTTAATAAAAATGTAGTTGGATATGGATAATTTGGATAAAATATGGATAATTTTTGCTGCAAATAATTATTCATGTATTAGCCGGTAAATTTTTTTCTGGATTCTAGGTGCGCCGCAAGTCTGTTTTGCAGAAAGGGATGAGGTATGTTTTAACTAGTTTCTGATAGAAATTGCGGTGTATTTAAATGGTGGAACTCCTAACTAGTTTGGCTTATATTGCAAGTTTTACAATTTATCAGTATTTATTGCAGCAATTGGTTCATGGATTTCGCCATTCTGTTCGAAACCGTCGTGACCGTCTTCTGCATCTACGTCCCCTACCTCAACTATGCGCTCACCCTCGCACCGATCAGGTGAATTAATTTAAAGTCATTATTTTACTGTAATAAACTACGGAAAAGTAGATTTGTACAAAAAATTCTTAAACAATTCGAGAAAATTCTTTGTGTATGCGCTTTGTTCAAGTGTAAGTACGAGTAAATAAGTCGCATTACGTTGTATGTCGTAATATTCTTGTGTACATCAACAAATTTTGGCGTCATTGAACAGGTTTGTCTGGTGGCTGCCGATGCTGCCCTTTGCGCTGTTCTTCTTCGCCTTCGACGAGCTGCGTCGCTACGCTATCCGCCACTTCCCGGACGGCTGGATGGACCGCAACTTTTACATGTGATCACGTCCCGTTGCGCCTGCAGCCTGTAACCGTATCAGACGGGTATGGGACGTCACTGTTTCTCTTTTTGTTTCGAGTTTGTAAATCGATCACCGCCGAGTGTTTATCGTTTACTGTAGTCTTTGAGTTTTATTTTTTTCAGTATTTTATAATATATTGTCAGTTCAAGTTGGAAATGTGTCTGTATATGCGTTTTGATCGTTTTAAAATTATATTCTGAGCTCGCTTGCATAGCGCCAAAAGTTTCACGAAGGATTAAAGAGAAATGAATGTGCACGGAAAATGTTAGTAGCAGTTACGTTGGGAAAACTTAGTAAGTTGTTAAAATTGCGAGCCGGTCTTCCAAAATTTGATTTTATAGACATCAGTAAAGTTTTTGACGTTACTACTTAGTACTGTATAACGTCAGTTATGTTTCTTATGACTCTTAACAAAAAAAATATTGATTTTATACAGCAGGAATATTTTTTTAAGTAGCTTGTTTCGGTAATATGTAATACAGATACGGAAAATGTGAGATTAAATCGGCAAAGGTGGAAGTAATTGAGCGGATGCCGTAGTTTATTTTAGTTTCCTAATTACTTTGTTTACGCAAGACGCATACATGCCATCGAAACCTAATACGAGGTAAAAGACCAACCAGTGCATGGATCCCTGTATCCTGCGAGAATGCTCCGAAAATTGCCAGTATTTTGGCTGTTTCACGTGATACTATACGTCATTTCGTAATTATAATTCCTGAAGCGTTACTGATTAATTCCGCAGATAGAAACGGTACAGTTAGTGTCAGATCTCAAACCTTTCTTTTCCGAATTTCGATAATATGGCGACTGCGGAGAACTGCGGGCAATTTGTTCCTATCAAACACAAACTCAGCATACATTCGTCAAGTGTTATACATTATACTGTAGCTTATTAAAGGAAATACGTACAAAATTGTTGCACCAATGCTTTACCACGGTTTAAAAATTTCAAAAACATCTGGAATAATTAATTTTTGCAATTTGCTTTATACGCACACGTACTTGTACATATTACACACAATATTTTTGCAAAACACATGTAGTACAATACATACATTGTCACAAAAGTAATATGATTATTTTATTGCCGCATACACCATGAACATTGTACTCGTCTTGATCTCTGTTGTCTGTAGCACCGAATATTAAGCAAGAAGTTTTCATCAAATTCATTAAGACTAAGCGAAAATGCAGATACTTATACAGATAGTATGCCGGAAAGAGAATCATATGCGAAGTTTAATGTCGTTTGTCGTTGGATGTACGTATTGTACACCGTGTATATACACGGTAATTTTTAAATACATGTATGTAAGTTTACAAACATCCGTGCTTTTCTAAGTCATGGAACACCATGCCGGACGTCATCTGAGGAATAATCAGTCCACTGGGTATTTCTTATTAAGCGACATTCATGTCACGCTATGTCTGATTAGTCTATGTAATTTATCATTTACATATTGCAGAAACATATGTATTTTACAGCATCGAATGCAAAAGTGTTTGGTACGAATCCCGGATGCTGTGCAACATCTCTTGGGGAATTCCCTGGGAAGAAGGAACACTAAGGCACTTGTTTCACTAGCATGTCCGGGTTACTTAATTATTCTGTCGTGTTGGCTGTTAATTATTGCCTCAAGCGGCGTTGTCAGTCAAAACGTAGGACGTGCGACGTCTATGCTGACCTTAAAAACATCCGTGTCCCTGCGATTGCAAAACGGCGATCCCTATAAACAGCTTCGGGATATCTTTGCAACCGCATAATTGTACCCCTACACACGGTCAATATTGCATATATGTATGGCTTTTTACATTACTGTAGCTCGAGTACCGAATATGGTATTTAATATTTTTAAATACATTTTTGGTAAAAGATTTGAGCTTTTTGAACGTCAATGTATTTTAACATTATAACACCTGATCATACTGCTACATTTACTGAGTTAGATACAATGTGCAGTACGAATAAACAATGCAAATGCTTCGTTTGACATATATTTTATATTTCGTTTGACATAAATGATAGCTTCATTGTTTGAATTGGATGTTAACGATTTTTGCGCATTGGATGTACACATTGGATGTATGCACTGGATGTACTGCAATTGCATACTGGCGCTTGATTTTATTATTGAATTTTTAACCGCGGACATATCTGTGTTTAACGGTCTCTACTTGTTTTAGTCTTACATTGTACAGTAATATGGTGTGCTGCCAGTAGTTTTACAACTTAAACTGTGGTGCAGAAAAATGTCCAATACTACCAACTCTTCCTCCGTTCAACTGCGCACTATTACCGGGTCGGAGTTGACCGTGTGGATAGTCGCCCAATTCGTCATTGGAATTGTGGGCGCCGTCTTGACCATTCTCCTCCTGATTATCATGCACCGACAGCAGAGACTGCGACGCGGATCCGGGCTACTTATCGCTCATGCACTGAGCGTCGATCTGATTTTCTGTCTCGTCATCAGCCCAGTCACCGTTATCCCCATTTACCTTCACCAGATGGACATTCCCGTTTGGTACAACTGTGTCCTCGCTGACTTTTTTCTACTGGTCGCCATCTACCTCGGGAACTGGACAGCCGTGGTGCTGGCCATTAACCGGCTGATCGCCATTATTCTACCGCAGATGTACACCAAGATGACATCACTGCGTTTTACTACGTGTTTGCTGATCTTTGTCTGGACCATCACGATCACTTGTAATATCCCGAACCTCAATATCGTACCGGGATTGGCGCACGGCCGGCAAGCGTCGGGTGCGTGTGGTCTGATACAGAATGACAGGGGGATTTTTACCATACTGGGAGTTCTCGGCACGTATTTACCCGTGGCGTTATTAGGCGCGTTGTACAGCTGTTTATTCGTTCTGTCCCGTTTTGTTAACGGCCGCGACAGGCAAAATGATGCACAACGAAGCTTATTGAAAAGAAAGCTGGCGATTGCTAAAGCCTTGTGTTTATCGTTCGTTTGGTACTGTATCTGCATTTTGCCGCCCGCTGTGCTGAATATGTACTATGCCGCATGGTGGAATAAGGAGATACGGGTGCTGTTGTACACCAGAAGTGCCCAGCTCCTGGGTTATGCGGCAAACCCGGTAAGTAACAAGCACAAGTTACCCGCAGTCAGTCGGTATGCTATTGGCAATCTCCTGTTTAATAATAATTGTTATGTGAAGAATAACGTGCGTGACGTTAATTAACATTGCTGGCGTTATGCAGGTGTTCTTCTTTGCTGTCAATGCGGAATACAGAGCGGCACTCCGACGGCTTGGTACCCATTGTATTTTTCCAAAACGGCGCCGCCTAACTCACGAGACTCATGCCGGGAATTCCATCAGCAAATTCCGCCAATCGTCTTCGAAATAGGATTTTGACAAACTAATCATACAGATGTTTGACGCATAAATCTTGATGGTTTGGTTCTTACTATCACGTATCGTAATTTAACCGTATTCGATGACTCGATCTTTAATGATCGAGAATGGAATAATTAACAACAATGAAAAGACGACAACAATATTAACAGAAACCTCGAAAATATCATGGCGGCACGTATGGAAATCCCTTGGAGCCATACGTCATAGGATGAAATAAATTTCAGCCGCATGTTGCGTGATGTCGTGATGTTCCATTTAAAATTTAGCCCGTTTTAATTGTAGGTGCTCTTTAGGAAAACACCTTCCGATACATGTACTGATGTTGTATACCTAAAATAATTTTTCAGAATTAAAGGTTACGTAGAATTTATGGGAGCGCTTAACTTATGAAATTCTACGACAAATATAGGTACTCACGAATATGGGTACTCAATGCGTGCTCACAAAATACAGAACAGTTTTGGACCTATAGCCTCAATCACAAGTGCTTCTAAATTTCATGAAATATGTGTGCCTAAAAAACATGCTCGGATAAGACTGAATGTGCTCTGTTATTCTGCTAGTACCCAGTAGATATAATTGCTTCAAAGCGTTGCTTAATACCGAAGCAATAATTTAGTAAATAAACGGCGCTGGTCAGTTTTTGGCAAGAAGCTGGCGCTTTCGCCATATTCAAGTAACCGGTTTCCATTAGTAACTTGTACTCTCTGTGTTGAATTGCCGCACTTTGCGATCCTTACGTGCCGTGCCGCTTTCTGTGGTAAACAATATTCTTGTCGACTACATAATACCTTCCAAAACTATCTGTCATGAAATTCAAAGAATACCGCCATCACCATTATGTACGTCTTGATTCAGTTGTTGCCCACCTTTCTGACATCAGAGTGACATGCATGCTCCCGGTCAAAAGGTGCTGTCGTTGCTGGAGATGCGGCAGTGACCATAGCCGCTATTTCAGTTTATTACGTACAGTTTTCTTGTGTGCTCTCTGCCTTGGTACGGAAGAATTACCCGCAGTTACCATGAAACTATTAGTCTATTTAGATTGAAAGCATCCGGCGAGAGATTCTTCTCTTTTGCTTAATCACTGAATACTAAAGACCCGATGATTTTAAATGAAAATATGTCTAAAGCGAGGAAGCCAGGCGAAAAAAACACGGCTAAATCATGATATTGTGTAAAAAGGTCACAGCTTAATTGAAGCTACATGTTAAGTCTGTGCTTCTTAGACGTTTCTGGATCGGACATTCAAATAAAGCGAAGCATAAATAATAACAGTGATTAACAATTATTACCATCCATTAGTGGAGTCGTATTACCACCATAAATACAACAGTATTTATTGAGGAACAACCGTACCACTTACATTACTCGTAATTGTTGATTTAACTTCCGGACGGAACGTTGATTTAACTTCCTCTTCGGATTCAGTGCTAGTTTTGTGTTCTGTGTATTAAGGACCCCCAAGTTCATGCTGCTCATCGCCACGAGAATCTGAACACACTGAACACCTGTTAGTTTCTCAGTTATTTGAAAAAAAGAAACCAGGGCGTCGCATATTCTGTCGAAGGTCATGTACCGTTTATATTTAACTAACAGCACTTATAAATGCAGAAACACCGACGCTTTTGCATATAAACCACGTTCTGGCCATTATTTCGTCGGGTATCTCATCCTGCCGCCGTAGTGTGCAGCTTGAAAGTGTTCAGCCAATTCAGTGAACGATACGGTAGTGGTTTACAGCATACGGCTGACTTGGTGTAGAAAATAGTGGCAGCGGGAGTCAACGACACGGTAACTAAGGCAGGAGAGCATGAGCAGAGTATAAAATGCTTGGAACATCGCAATCCTTCCGAGTTTCCTAAAATGTTTGATGTAGAATGCAGGTGCATGCTGAATGATAAAGACAACCGTTAAGCATTAGCTCAAAGCTTTATAGCGTAACGAATAGTAAAAACTTATGATAATGGTCAACCTCACGGACAATGTGACCGTTCCCTCATACGACGGTAATTTAACGAACACCCGATGGAATTTCGTGGCTGGATTCAAGACGTTTACCGGCACTACAACGCTTTTAATGAATACCGCGGTGTTCTTGACGCTGTTGACCAATCGAAAATTGCGCACGGCGTTTAACATTTACCTGATGAACCTCCTGTTATCTAACATCGTGTACCTGGTTTGCTCCGAATACTACGATATCATTATCTGGATGAAGCGTAAATGGTGGCCCGGTAACGTCCTCTGCGAAATGCACCTGTACGCACTCAGCAGCCCGTCCACGTGCATGACCTGGGCGCAAGTGCTTATCTCCTGCAATCGCATCTGGGCCATCACATTCCCCGCGCATTATCACCATCACCATACTCAGGTCGTGGCTATCGTGCAGTGCGTGGTAATGTGGTTGTTTGTGCACACGGTGACCTTACCCTTTGAGATTATGGACGCGCTATGGTATCGCGCACCCGGCACCACCAAAGGCTGTCAATTTAATTTTGATGCACAAATATTATATGCGCAGATCTACGAGATAGTCATGGTAGATATGACGGTCATCTTCATCATTGTCGCGTATCCGTATTTATTATGGAAAGTAGTAGCGCGGCGCCGTGCACGGACCGGCGAACATGCCGCACCGGGAAAGGCTGGACATACGCTGCCGGAGAGTAACGACGATACTGCCACACGCGCCCGCTACAACGAGAGTCGAACGGCTTTTATTGTTCTGACGTCTCTGACGGTTAACGCCATCGTCTGCTGGACACCGTCGTCGCTAGTGTATCTGGCGGCGGATTTCGGCAACTATGATTTACCGGACCAATTCTATCAGTTCGGACACTGGATGCTGGAAACCGGGGCCCTAATGGATTCGGTCATCATCTTCATAAGTGTTAGAGATTTTCGAATGACGGTCTACAGTTGTCTGGGGTGTCGATGAAATTCTGTCGATACGACCCAGCGATTTCGCTGGAAGCTGAGCAGCACCACGGTATTAAAAATAACGACAGCGCCAGCGATATGACAAGGAATGGACGAAGATCAGCCTACTCCCGGTACCGCTTGCTGATAGGAAATGACCTGTCATTTTTTTGCATTGTCATGGCTTACAGCGTCGTGTTTTGTGGCTAGATTGACCGTTAATCTACTAAGTTTTGGCTCATCACTCCCTACTATTAACTATCCAATCGGTAGTAGCTACGTAGAGTGTTAGTGTTCGTACAAGTCTGTTGACAAATTGAGCAGCGAACATACAGAAAATTATGATTTTTTGGGTTATGACTTATGCCAACTTCCGTACTTCGGCACCCCCCGCCACACTATTTACGTCGGTGCAGTGATGGACGATCTAACCGCAGAGCGCAAGTTTTATCGCGATACAGGATACAGTTTTACAGTTCCGTCCATGTTTTCTCTTCTGAATTTTATGCATAAAACACTGGCTTCGGCATTCGTATGACAAAAACCAGATGCACCTGTATTGAACAGACGTTATTATTACTTTAGCTTGTTGCGTAAATCATCGCTAATTACCACAACATTAATTTTGTCAAAATATCAGATATTGGCTCCGGGCAAACACAGAATTACAGCTTAAACACCTACTGCATATAAGTTCTAAAGAGTGGAAAAAGGACCCCTAAAACAGGTATTTGTATACGGGCGAAAGGCTGTACTTTAATAGCGCACAACAGTGCAGGGAATCAGATAACGTTTCTTAATTCTTGGAACAAAAGTTTTAATCCACCACTATCCGTATAACATAAGGTGCAAGCGCAGGCATATTACTGTACACTGTAATGTACAGGGTAAAGCATTCTTCGTACTGCAGTGATTAATTGTAGTGAGAGCAGTGGTCCAAGCCCACGTGTTCGAGTTGTACTCTCTTTTTAGAACCGGCTTGTACAGATAGATGTTGATACTAGCAACTTACCACGCAGATTTTAGGTACAGATATGGTTGATAACCTGACACACAGGTTAAATACACCATTTACAAGTCCGATCAGCATTCGAACACCCATAAGCTGAGGCATTACCTGTATATAAAGCGATAAGCCAAATTTCTGATTTACGCCAAATTCAGTAGAAATTTTTTGTTGTGCTAGCGTTACAACAAGGGGGTGGGGGTGAAAAATCGTTAAAAAAACCGTTGCGTAATAACTAAATCGCCTCTTACCGGAGAGATGGCACGAGTTAGGGCATCACAATTGAACCGTACCGACACTGTATCCTATGCGTATCCACTGTACCGACACTGTATCCTATGTGTAGCCAATGTACCGACACTGTATCCTATTCGTATACACTGTACCGACACTGTATCCTGTGCGTACCCAATGTACCGACACTGTATCCACTGTACCGACACTGTATCCTATTCGTATACACTGTACCGACACTGTATCCTATTCGTATACACTGTACCGACACTGTATCCTATTCGTATACACTGTACCGACACTGTATCCTGTGCGTACCCAATGTACCGACACTGTATCCACTGTACCGACACTGTATCCTATTCGTATACACTGTACCGACACTGTATCCTGTGCGTACCCAATGTACCGACACTGTATCGACACTGTATCCTATGCGTATCCACTGTACCGACGCTGTATCCTGTGCGTACCCAATGTACCGACACTGTATCCACTGTACCGACACTGCATCCTATGCGTATCCACTGTACCGACACTATATATAAGGGGCGAAAGTAAACACGTTCCACCGTTCCCCTGTACTGCTGCCGTCACCCGCCTGGAGTGTGACGTTACGGCAATACATGTGGTTAAATCTGTCGCGGTACATAAGCGCCATGTTCAGCCACAACGTCAAATTCCAGCCGGGTGACGGCAGCAGTACAGGGGAACGGTGGAACGAGTTTACTTTTGCCCCCTATATAATAATTTAAAACGTGCCCGTTAAACAGCCATCATGTTTAAAAGTATATATTTCGAATGGATCAGCAATTCATTTTATCAGATTGAAATAGTCGCATTCAGACAAAATCCTTTGCTTAATTCTGACTTGGAATAACCGTTATGTCGTGAATGCAATCTCGCCATTTTATGAATTTAATCAACGTTTTTGCAAATGTTTGTTTCTCATTAAATCAGCAGTGCAAAGGCGCGATACATAGCAGGTACAGTGGATACAGACTGGGTACAGTGTCGGTGTCGGTACAGCGGGTACAAAGCAGATACAGTGGATACAGACTGGGTACAGTCAACAGTGTCGGTACAGCGGGTACAAAGCAGATACAGTGGATACAGACTGGGTACAGTGTCGGTACAGCGGGTACAAGGCAGGTACAGTGGATACAGACTGGGTACAGTGTCGATACAGCGGGTACAGCAGATACAGTGGATACATATAGCTTACAGCAATTCATGGATATCACTTCAGTATCCAAGGATGCCCTAATCGTTTTAATGCATTGGATACAATGCTAGTGTATCCAATGGGAATTTGGCAAGCCCTAATAGAGGTACTCTATGTCTTACCGCTAGAACGCGGTGCGGCTTGAATGTCAGTTTGGCAATAATCGATAGCTTGGAAAGAGGAAAATCAGAGTTGTTTGACGAGTTTCTTTCCGTAAAAACAAGACAAACAGACTTGATTTTTTAGAAGGCAGAAGTTTCTTTGATTACTATTTTCTGAAAATCTGCCGGTCAATGGCCTATGATTATCCTCGTCGGCTTGCTTCCGATCTCGGCTGCTGTTAAATATCTGCCGCGGGTGCTCTATCCGTTTTATCCAATGCATTAATAACAAATATATATGTATAACAACGCGAGCGTTAGTTTTCTTCGCCATTATTTCTTGAAGAAGAAACAATGTTTTACCTTAGACGTTCTACTGGGACGTCGGCTTAGGTTACTTCTGTTAGCAACTAGCCAGTCTACGCTCTAACCTGCTGCAGTGTATCACGTTTTACTCTCCATCCTTGTTCATCATGTCTCAAGCCGTCTATTCGTGTTTTCCGCCATCGTTTGCGCGCTGTTTCTTTCGGTCATGCTTCTGCTGGCACGGTCTGTTAAAGTTAAAGAGGCATCATCAGCCACATTTGGCCATGCCACTTGGGAAGTTCATTTGTCTACAACAAAACTTTCCCGGAATTTCCACTTCTGCGCCGATAGCAGCTGCTCCCAGTCAAATAGAAATTCCAGCTTTATCGAGAAAGCTTGCTGACAGCGGCAGCCCATCCGATGTCGCATTCGTCACATCGTGTGCCGGTGCTGTATCCAACGCCGCACTTACAGTAATAGTCCGTCTTCTGGCGTGGGTCGCCGATGCGCCGATCCCTTATCCATCTGTAGTATTAGTAAAACATGCATCTGCGACAGGTCCTTAGGTTTACTTTTACTGTCAAACACTGCTTTTCACTGCACGGCTGGGTACCCTTTCGGAACTGGACTTCTCCATCAGTCACGATATTTCGCTACGTATTTGTAGAGAACTATTTCGTGTGAACTAAAATAGAGAAATTAGTATATATAAAGGGTGTTCCTTCTACAAAGTCCTTAATTAGGCAAAACCGTTTCGAATGCGATAGACATGGATGTACGTACGTTTCCAGTAACGTAGGTCTTCTTCTTTATATTTTGTAGCTTGTGGCACGTGCTATTATTTGAGTGCTTCGAACCCATCAACATCCTTCGATGTAGCATCGAATGTGAATTATGATTCTCATTGCATTTGGACCGTTCAGGCACCAGCAAACACTAAGATAACGGTAAGTCGATATATACATGTAAATCGGCTCTTGGGGTAGAAGTGTACTTGTAGTAAATAAGTTTTACATACTTGTCCATGTTGCAGATATCTTCAAAACTTTCTAATTCAGGTAATAAATACAGATAATTTTCAGTTCTATGCTAGTGCACGCGGGGCACGATGCCGCACATGCAGATCACATTTTAGAGATAAAGCTTCGTATTTGTAGTACGTAACATGTTCTCTATTAGGACCCTTATTTAAATGGACGATTTCATGTTGTTGTTATGTTTTTGCTTTCCCGACAAAAAAAATATGTACGTACAATACACTCAGTAATGCGTACTTCTACTGCGTTCCAAAACGTTCCCCAGAAAATTTTCGATAACCGATATGAGTATGTATTGTAGCTGTATTCACGGTAGCGTACAGAATCTACTTTATTACAGGAAACTGATATTTTCACCAGTCTATCAGAACCATTGGTTATTGTGATCACAGTTTAACACCTCCTTTTGTCTGTTTCCACCTCATATATTATACGTGCACATTTTATAATATATACTTTAATATTTTACCAGTGTACCACATTACTGGTTAATCTGCTACGGAAATTTTTCCTACTTTTAGAAAAGAGATAATAATGTTAGGACATTAAGCGTTCATGACCTTTGAAACTCGTTACTTCTATTCTGTACTGGTAAACACTAGCTGATATGTATAACAATCCCTCCTAACGGATCACTTTCCGATTACGAGGAAGGTCAAGTGCAAACCAGCAGCTATGACTTGGTTATTTATGTACCAGAAGCCGCCGAACTGCCGGAACATTTTCATTTCCTGATAAAAATTAGACGAAATCATCAAAGAGTACCAACAGAAGATAGGCCGCTATTGGCGAAGCTACTGCAATCTGGAAACCTGATTTGTATACGTATGTCAAAAGAAGTGTGCAAAGGCGGTGGCAGTAGTCAAAAGGTGGTGTTGGAATTGATTTTAGAATGTTAGTGGGAATAGGCGAATGTGGCGAAAGATGGTGAAAACAACCAAAAGGTGGTGCAAGATGGTGGCAGTAGCCACATCCTTTATGATAACGGACAAATACAACAATGGAGTTACTCTGGTTCTCGTCCGTGATGGGAAACAGCTGGCTTGGGATGCAACTTGCGCAGACACTTTGGCACAGTCATACCTCAAAGGGACAGCCAAAGTGGCTGGTGCAGCAGCTAAGCAAGCAGAAAATCGGAAGCGACAAAAGTACCGCTCCCTCGGAGAACAGTGTCTGTTCCACCCTTTCGCGGTGGAAACGCTGGGAGTGCTCGGAGTTTGTTTGTTTCAAACCAAAATAATCTTATGCCACTCTGACGCCGACTTACTACGGTTTCGATTACATGGAGCGAATAAGAAAGACCCTTAGCGACTTTTCTTAGCACAATCTGGTGAGAGGGTCACATTACGAGTAAAGATACTTAAATCAGTAGCTAAAGCCGGCTACAGAAATAATCAATCCTTTATCCATCGGTCCATGTGCTGGCGAGTTTTCACCTTTCTGCTACTAAACGTTCTTACGGTTCCTCGAATTTGACGGTTAGGAACACAGGAAAGAGTAGAACGGTCACAGCTCGCCAAATTTAAAATTAGTGATTTCGATAGTAACTGTAACTTGACCTTGATTTTATTTTAGGCAGTTTTCTTCTACGCTCAAACGGGCTCAGCGTCCACCGCTACATTAAAATTAGCTTACGCTTAACAACTGTAAGTGGATACTTAGTTGAATTATATGATACTGGTGTCTAATAAACCCGCGCATATTGCGCGGAAGAAATTAAATGATTAACAAATAAATTACTTTATTTACGTGATCTTTTCTAGATTATTTGTGAGTATTCTGTTTCATTTTTACAATAAATGTGACGTTTAGTTCGGATTTAATGGTGTACTGTTCAAACTGCATGTTAACATTTAAAATGTACAGTATTGATGATAGTTGTGAAAACAGCATGAACTGAAATAATATTTAGCCAGTACATGGTGCAGATGCACGTCATTGTAGTTCGCTACGTGGATCTTTGCTCCACGGCGCGACAACGTTTGCAATTCTTTTCCGCTTTTCATTTGCTTCCTTACTACGGGCGTTAAAAAAACCGTTTCCAGCTATACAAACCGTTAAAAAAACCGAATACTGTTAAAGATAACGTTAAAAACACCGAATTTTCAGCGTATACTGTTGTTAGTCGCGTAACCGTTGCTTTTTCTGATCGTACCTAGAGCCCGTTATTATAGGGTAAAATTAGATGACCACCCCAAGTTTTTGCTTAATTTTGAAATTTGGTTTACGAACTAATTTGAAATTTGTTTCATAAACACGATCGGCACGTGCGCGTCTACTGTACTTTGTACAGTCGTTTACAGAAAATCTTCACATGTTGACACAGTACCGTCTGACTACGCAAATCGGAGCGGCTTAGCAAGCCCTCTGTACGGTGCACTGGAGGCGATTAAAACGCTCTTCACAGTCTCGGTTTATGCAGTCGGTCGAAAAGTAAATATTAACCGTATAATTTGAGACGGTTGTTGCTGACGTAGCCTATTTCTTTAAGAGAATAATATGAAAGCGTTCCGCTATCTGGCCGTCTGGAAATGTGTACCGTCCGCAATCGGATCGGCATACTGTTTAACGGTCTTCGCAGTATGCAGTAACAGTATTATCTATTCCCGCTGTGGTTGCCTGGTTGGTACATTGTATTCTTGCCCTGCATTTGAAAAACCTTTATCATTCGGTAATAGTACCGTTGGTAATGACACTGACAACAGTTTCTGATTGTACGTATAGCAATAATTGACCGGCAAAACCGCGTTATCTGTATTCGGAGTGGGTGCCTGGATAGCGCTGCTGTCGTAAGTAAAAACAGTCTGTTCAAAAATTCATCAGTATCAGTCAGTGTTGCTGGTGGTCGGTTAGATGCAACAAACCGGTACTTTGTTAACTTTAATTTTAGCAATAACCCCGCCAAAAATGGGGAAGAGAGTCTTTTTCGGACTGCTCCTTGCATTAGTCAGTATCAATTTCGCAGTCGGCGAAGACATAAACTCCGTTCTTCTGGCGCCGGGAGTGCGAATCCAAGGAGAAAAAGAAGTTTCGTCCCGAAATCCAGAAAAGTATGGATATGCTTATTACGGAATCCGATACGGAACTGCCAGCCGATTCGAGGTAACATTTTAAAAGCACCATAACACGAATGGTTAGGGTATGTAACGCAAGGAAGAATTTGTAGCATTCCACGGAGAATACGGATTTCGCCTACTTTCAAAATCCGACTCGCTTAAAACTCGGACCGGTATGTCCCCAAGCACCCTTCTTTGAAATCGGTGTGGAGGCGAGTCCCCGGGTGCTATCAATGGAGGAAGACTGTTTGTATCTGGATGTTATCGTTCCCCGTGTTCACGATGCACCTAAGCGGGGACTTCCGGTGATGGTGTTCATTTATGGCGGCGCATTGCAAAGTACTTCCTTCCTTTTTCACCAGATACGGAAACACCAGTTTTGCTGTTAACTGTAGCACAGTAAGGATTTCACCACGGAGTGCGATCATAATGTCCTTTACATTTCAGTGGGAGATAAAGACATGTACAACGGCACATTTCTGGCACTTGAGACGGAAGCGATTTACGTGGCGGTGAACTACCGAGTTTCTGCGTTCGGTAATAACAGCCTAAATACATGTACAACGCTATCTGCTGTGTGTCGTTTGTGACCGTAACGTGTCTGCATTCTGATACAGGATTTTTAAGTACTGGTGACGACAAGCTGCCAGGCAATTATGGACTGGGCGACTGCAAAACGGCCTTGGAATGGGTGGTCAAGCATATTGGAAAGTTCAACGGAGATGCCGCTCGCATCACCGTTTTTGGGGAAAGCGCTGGGGCCATTCTGACGTCAGCATTATACATGGACCCGGAAAGCCGCAGTAAGTTTAACGAGCTTACTTGAAGCATATTCATAGCAATCGCGATAAGTAATACAGCAATAGGTCTATACCTTATATTTACATCGATACTGAAACTGTATACCGGCATTAGAGGAATTTTTTGCGTGCGTTCTCCATTCTCCGTATGAAGATCAATTTAGAAAAGTACACATATGTCGCTTACAACTGAATTTTTAGGATACATTCGGGCCGCCATCGCGCTGAGCGGTAGTTCACTAATGGATATAGCCACTAAACAAGATCCGCGCCCGTTGGCCGAGGAATTAGCCGAGAAGGTCAACTGTTCCAAGGAGTGTCCCTACGCCATGGTGCAGTGTTTGAAAACGATCCCACAATCGGTGTTGCTCAATGCGGCTCGAAAAATGGAACACGGCAATCCGGTAAGAGACGAATTCGCATTGTCAGGGACCTATTAATCATTTGGTTAGTCTACAGGATCTATTTCCGTACGGATTTGTAGTGGATAACGTCCATATTAAGAAGCTCCCAAGACTGGAATTACAGGAAGTGAAACTGGATTCTAGGAAGTCCACGTTTATTACTGGTTACTTACGGGAAGATATGTCTCTGCTGCTAGTCAGTAAGAAGTTTCATCTGTTACAGCAAACTCCTTGCTGTTATTCCTGATGTGATACGATAACGACGCGATACTGTCAGGTTTGGATGATGCCAATTTTTTCGTTCTTTAGACACCAATCCGCAGATTTTCGACCAAGCTGTGCCAGTCACTTATGCGGGTATAAGAGAAATGGTCGCAAAGCAGTATCTTCCGACAAATGACCGCTGCAAAACGCCTCAGTACGATCTCGCGGAACGCGTAATGAAGTATTACAATATCAGTGACATTGATGACCGAGGATCCATGACACTGAAGTTTATTCATGTAAATCAAGATCTTCAGTTTAACAGTTTAATCTCGGGATTTAAAGTCTTTAGACATATTGCGGACCTTTTGACGGCGTCTGCAGTGTAAGGAAAACATAAGCTGCCCCATCTTTGCTGCTACCGCTGGCATTCTACCATCTCTGCGTACAGTGGAAGGGCAATTTTGCTGTTTACTTTTGCAGGCGCTTGCTTTGAGCTCTGTACAACCGTTTCTTGACACCAGAATGTAGAGAACTTTTATCTTCGCATTCTGGTGTCTAGAGTGTTGGAACAATCGTGAACAGCTTGCTAAAGAGCCTTTTAACAAAATTATTCCAGTCCCATCTGTCAAACGATAGCTCCGGCTATCATTGTGCAAATTCTAATGTTTCGAAAGGTAATTTTGCTGTGCAGTGTCCTAGCGCTAGCGCTGTCACCCCGGCCACCCGAGTAGGGATTATTTCAGTGTAGTTTTGACACTACAGAAATCACCGAAAACCCCGTAAACCCGTAATGTAATAAAAAGTCCTCACAATGTCACGCCAGTGTGTATCGTTAATTTTTATGCCGCAGCTGGCTTCCGATTCGTTGTTTGGATATCCCGCTCTAAAGGAATCGTTTGCTTATGCCAAACAAGCTCAAGCTGACGGATTCGGAAACCAGTTTTATTTGATCTCTTACGATCAGCAACTTCCGGGTTTCGGTACGTTGAAAGCCCCGCAATGCCGTTAAATGAATTTGTTTCAAGTAAACGAGTATCCAATAGGAGCATTCCACGCCATGGAACTGGGATACATTTTTGGGGACCCACTCAATAAGATACTCTTCAACCTTAGCTTGAACGACACAGTCCAAGCTAGCCTTCTCAGTATGATGCGGGAGATAGTGCATAATGGGTAAGAATTACTTCGTTTCGCTCAGACGTGGTTAAGCGGATATGCAGTCGTGAATGATGTTCACACTTTCGTCTGGAATTAACTTAGAAAAATGGACGGTCCGGATTTCGGCCGAGAAGGAAGCCACATGGAGCTAACGCAAACCGGCCACTGGGAGAAGGGCAGCACCGACTTCAAAGCACGATTTGAATTCTGGGAGGATGTTGTCAACACTCCGTGTTCTGAAATCGAAAGCGGATCAGCAAACAAACGTAGTGAAGAGCTGTGATAAAACATTTGACGAGTCTAATAGCTTTATTCATCACCACTGGTGTATATTTGTCTAAAAGTTTCTTCCATCGAGAAAATGCAATAATGGCTTTTTTCAGTCTTATGTCAGTTTTATTGTTCAGACAAAAAAAACTGCAGGATTAATTCAGTTTTATTGTGCGAAATGCACATTTTCAAAAGTGTTATACAAACCATATTGGCACCAGTGATCAGCTTTGTAATCCCAAGTACCTATGAGCGGGAAGAATTTGAGAAGCATCAAATCAAGATTATCTGGAATCCCTTACAATTCTTAATTTAAAAATTCTGTTAATTAATTTCGGTCCGTTGCTTTGATTAATTCTGCCCTATTAGTAGTTTAAGTTTATTTAAATGTTACTGTTATTTTTTTAATTTTATCAGACCTGTTTTTATAAGACCGACGAGTAATAAAACGATGCTCTTAAAGCATCTCAAATGGAATTGCATGCAGTCAGCGCTTCAAGGGAGCAAACGACTGTTCAAGTGCAAAATAGTGCAAAATGGGCAAATGCATTGGAATCTGGACCTGCTATATGTACGAAAGGCTGGAGCGCGGGCTTGGTGGCTTTAGTTTTAACTTACTCTGACGAGTCTGATCGACAGAATTAGTAAAATGTACCAATATCATAACAAACGGATGTGGCATACCCAAACGATTTTCTGGCCATTACTGTATACCCAAATGTCGCTGTCAAATGAAATTAAACAGTTAAAAAAAAATTTTGGCATGCTGGAAAGCGGAAGTTTTAGTCTAGCTACTAATCCATTTTTTTCTGTGGCTACTGTTTAGTTGACACTGACATTGGCATTGGACCATGTGGACGTATGGAGAAGAATGGTTTAAAGATTGTCCGTATAGTGAAGATTCAATACTGTCTATCGATCTATGGTATCCACCGCATGCTCATAATAAACTACCCAAAACTACTCCGCCGCCGATACTTATACAGACCGACGAGAATATTATAATATTAAAACTCATAGCAAATCGCTAGTGTAAACTGTGCGTCTAAACGAGCTTCTCCTAGTGCAGTATTTACAGTATTGATTTTTAACGGTCTCGATGAAGCTGTCTGCCGAAAATAAGCAAGTTAAGTATTTCTAGACAGCTTGAATGTGCTGCCGCTGCTGTTTTCGGCGCGCACTCGTTTCGCAGTGCCACACTGTCTGCATAGCAGACACTGGATTTGTTAAAAAGCTGGGAAAGTTTCTGCTGCATGTTGTTATTGCTGTCGCCGCAGTGTTTCTTTTACGATGTTTATATAAATGCAAACTGCTATCAGCTGCTCATATCGCTAAGTTTGCTGATTATGTCCTTTTAAATACCCAGGTTAATACAGTTTGTCCTTTTAAATACTCAGGTGCGCTGCGAAAATTGCCTCTATCATTCATCTCTTTGGGTTATGATCTGCATACTTCTATGTATTGATCTTTAGTAAGAGGCAACGATCGCCAACTGGCATAATTATTTCGAACTTTGCTGTAAAACGTCAAGAATGATGAATGTAACCGCTGCTTTTGGATTATTGGCTGTACTTGCCAGCATTAGCAACAGTTTGTGTGAGGAGAAGCCCACCGTCCATCTTTCACCGGGAGTAGAAATGCAGGGAGAAAAACAGTTCTCATCGAAGTATCCAGAACGATCTGGTTACGCTTATTACGGCATCCGTTATGGCACTGCCCGACGATTTGAGGTATAAATGTGTGAATCTCGTGAACCATACGCATCACAGAAACCTTATCATGTGCATAACGAACAAATTATAGCACTCCACCGAAAACACGGATTTTGGGTATTTGCAAGATCCTGCTCATCCAAAACAGGGATTCGCCTGTCCGCAGTCGTCAGCAGCAATTGGACTGGCGGAAGCTCCACAAGCGCTAGCAATGGATGAAGACTGCTTGTACCTGGATATTTTTGTTCCGAGCACAGCTAAAACGTCGCAACGCTTGCTGCCGGTGATGGTTTTCATATATGGCGGCGCTTTTCAAAGTAGGCAACAATTAAAAGCAATTACATGCTACGTCCGTGTAGCAGGCGCCTTAACGCTGCATTTCAATAATACGTCGTTGTAGTTGGAAACAAGGACGAATGCAACGGCACGTTTCTGGCACTGGAAACCGATGCTGTTTATGTGGCGCTCAATTACCGGGTCTCGATATTTGGTAAACAAATACGCACATGTTTGTCTATTGAACTTTATTAACGGCGTTTGGAAATCTTCCACAGGGTTTTTAAGTACTGGCGACGAAAATTTGCCAGGAAATTATGGCGTAGGCGATTGCAAGACGGCCTTGAATTGGATTGTCAAGCACATTGAAAAATTCAGCGGAGATGTCAATCAAATCACCGTTTTTGGGCAAAGCGCCGGCGCCATACTGACTTCGACTCTGTACATGGACCCAGAAAGCCGAGGTACCGGTATTTAATTGTGAACAGCGGTTCACCTTTTATATTACACGTACATCGTGAGCAGTATTTTAATGCATAGAGACGATAGAGTATGCTAAATGCTACAATTTATTAAATGTTACAGTACTCAGTATGTGCATAAAAACAACAGTATGTTAAATGCTACAATGGTGCAGTGGAGCAGTAATGGCAGTATGTACAGAGTACAGTCTGTAGTGCACTGGAGCAGTATGTTAAATCAAATGCTACAATATGTGCGTAAAATTTAGCTGGTCTGGATTGAAAAAAAACGCATTACCGTGTAAGGCCCTTAATCTTTTTCTGGAAACAAGGTGGATATAATTAAGATCTCTTTAATGTCGAATGTGTACTAGTTCAAGTTTGCAGAACGCATTCGCGCTGCTCTGGCTTTGAGCGGTAGTATTCTGATGGACAACGCCTTGAAAAGTGATCCTAAACCGGTCCCTATGGAATTGGCTGAAAAGGTCAACTGTACACGTCGGTCTACCAGGGAAATGGTGCACTGTTTGAAGGACGTACCCGTCTCCGTGTTATTACAAGCTGCAAAGAAACTGGAGCCTGGGAATCCGGTAAAGCTTTTTGGCAATCATACAGACAGCCATTTGTTGTACGCAATTAACTTACATACTGTGTCAGTTCGTTATAATCTGACAGGAAACTATTCCTTATGGACTGGTGGTCGACCACGTACATATCAAAGAGCTACCAAGATTAGCTTTAAAACATGCGGGCACCACTTCCAAGAAATCCACATTGATTTCGGGATATTTACGAGAGGATAACTCCGCATTATTAGGCAGTAGGTCATTTGCAATGAGTGTATAGCTGATTTCCGCAGAAACGGATCGATTCCCGTCTTTAGAAATGTTTGTTTCTGGTTTCCTCAGTGTCCTATCCACAGCTTTTCGATCCAGCTGTGCCGGTAACGTATGGACTACTGAAAGAAATCGTTGCGAGGCACTTTATACCGACCAGTGACCGCTGCACAACACTGAAGTACGACCAGGCCGAGCGGGCCATGAATTACTACAGCATAAGCGAAACCGATGAGCGCTCCGAGATGATGCGGAAGGTCATTCTGGTACGAGAATTTCCCGCATTGGCACTTTGCTCGTTTCATTATCTCAGTTATTTCTTAACTTAACTGAACAATTAATCATCTGCATCCGTGACGTAGCTATCGACCGATGCGGTGTGGGGATATCCGCCTATGAAAGAGCTGTCTATATACGCCCAGAATATGCCAGCAAACGGCGGGGAAAACCAGTTTTATCTAATTTCGTTTGATCAGAAATTTATGGACTACGGTACGCAAGAGGCGCTTTTGGTGTTCATGATGTTTTTATCGCTGTTTTTGGTACAGGAGCTTTTCATGGCCTGGATATGTTGTACATTTTTGGCGATGAGCTCAATAAACTGTACTACCAACTTCCCTTCAATGCTACCGTACAAACAAGTCTCCTGACCATGATGCGACAAATCGTGCACAACGGGTAAAACTGCGGCGGTTTTACTCTGTAAATATATTTGTTCTATAACTTACTAATCGGAAACAAACTCGCAGAAAAGATTTATTCCTTTTTATTGTCAGACGAATGGACGGGCCTGCTTTTAATCGGGAAGGAGCACACCTGGAATTACCACAGAAAGGCCTATGGGAGCTTGGCCACACGGACGTCCGTGCTCGCGTTAAATTTTGGGATAGCGTAGCAGATACGCCATGCCCAAAAAGTGAATCCAGATTATATGAAAGGGAAGCATTTCGTTCTAGTGAAGAACTGTAACACAATTGTTCGTTGGCTTTATTACACTGCAATTTCTGCGCAAAATTTCTGAAACGGTGAGCCACTTAGGCACACTTGCTAATGCAGTAAATCGACATTCTTCGGATTCCGGACACTTGCATAATATGCATTCGCGTGCCGGACACCAGAAGCACGGTATTCTCTGCGTTTTTCCACATGGGAAAAACGTTTCAAAAAAGATATGATTATTGTTGTCATACCCGCTTCTATACGAGATTTATAAAAAAATGCTAGGTTTTCGAATGGCAGCCGATCAGTACCTGGCTGATAAAACGAGCGATAAATTCGAAAAGAATTTGCTTGGTGACAGACACATATTTGGTACATGTACTTGTACTGAAAATCTTCAGATTGCATTACAGGTGCACTATACCCGACCAGGCGGACCTTAAAAGCCGATACAGCTCTCCAAGTCCGTATCGGCCTTTTCTAGTGCAAAAAAAGCAAAACAATATTAACTATTAAGCATTAGAATTCATAATTTTTTTGCGGATAGTCTGGAAGAAATAACCGAAATCCTATAGCAATCTGGCATTATGATCTGATCTCGTGTAATTCCTAGATCAGAAGAAAAGGTATCAGTTAGACAGTGATACTTAGGCTGCTGTGGTTAATTGGCCGTGTCCGCTTGAGCCGTACTCGATCTCGTCTGGCGTGTGCCGTTACTATACGTGCGGCTCCTGGATCTCGTCTGACTCTGGGATTCACTTCGCGACCGGCGGCTACGATAGAAGGCCGTCATATCCATCGGGTGGACTTTTTGGGTGAAAGGTGACCGGGTGTACATCTGAATTACTCCTTGCCGGTATTCCGCATTCATAGCGCAAAATACGATCTGAAAGTGAAAAACAATGGTTTACTAAAGGCTCTGCTAATAGGTTTTAATTTACTTTTGTGGCTGTTTAATTGATTGTCCTACTGGTGTTGTCATGTAACCGAAGAACAGGACGAACGATAACCACATCGGCATTAGCGGGTATTTAAACGTGGACGTCGGTGCGGCAACCGCCACAACCGGCAGCGGCAGATAGCACACCACCGTCCAGACAAATGCGGCGAACATCGTATTAGCCATACGGACACGCCGTTGATGCAGCGTTCTCGTAATGCCACCAGTAATACTCGTCCCAGCCATTTTCCGCCAAATTAATTGTACATAAATCACTCCATAACATACTGCACCAATTAGCAACGGCAGATAGAAACCAATGAAGAACAACATCCGCCCGAAATTTCCTCGCTGATCAAAGACACACGTTCCGTACGGATTCCGCACATACTGCACGCCCAAATCGAAACTTCCCGGCAACGCCCACAGCGCGGAGAACACCCACATGGCTAGCGCGGAGATGTTAGTGACCTTTTCTGTAGCCATACGGCGGTAGTGATGGGGCATGGATAAGGCCATCATGCGGTTGACCGCCACGAGGGATTCAATCCAATCTGCGGCGTAGCGCAGGAAGAACTGGCAGTACATCTGGACTTTGCAGTAAACTGGTGGTAGGGCCGTTTGCTGGAGGATCCCGTTGAAGACGGAAACAAAGGTGCAGGATACTGTGCGCGCGATAAGGTAATGGATGATGAGGATGCCGCATCCGTGACGGAGATTATCGTTGCGGTATATCACGATTAGCAAGACAGTGTTGGTGAGGGAGGATAGGTAGCACATGATAATAAAACAGACCATCCACAGTGTCGCTCCTGGTAACGGTAATAAGCGGTCGGAAAAGAAATTCTGGGTTAAATTTAACGACATAGTTGCATTCATTGCAACTCAGGATAAGGAAGTCAGGGAGATTTAATGCGCTGAAAGTAGACTTATACAGATTTGCCGGTCGGCGGTGCGAAATACTCATAGGATAGATGGTCTGTTTCAAAATGAAAGAAATTAAAAATTCAATTACACACTCGAGGAATGGTAAGTAACCTTGAACTCCCGGCTTGTGCGAACGGAAAAATGTACTGTGGTAAAGCCTCTACTCATTGGAAAAGGAATTTCAGTCTGGAGTGGAATACATAGGCACCAACAAATAAACGGGCATCCGGTGACCCTTAATGAAGACAACCAAACAAAGCTATACATTTTGTTACAATGACATCTTTACGTCAACTGAGTGGCTTTTACTTGATATCTGTGCGTGTGTACAAGCTTGTCCGGTAATTTCCTACGTAAAGGTACAAGCAACAGATATTTAGCGCGGAGTTTGCGCTATGACAATTGCCACCACACTACGTCGTGAATTTATATACTTCGCTGTATTGATTCGTCAGAAAATACCGGACAAGCTTGTATACCGTAATTTGTACGGTTTTTCGGTTTTGAGTACGGGATGCAGGTATGTAGCGGCAGAAGGGTGCATGCTAGACTAATTAGTTCTTGTTGATGCACTGGTTTCCGCTTGGTGTGTCTTTCTTTGAGAGGCAACGGTGCACTTACCTTTAACGCAGTGCTAAAAGGGAAAAGGGCTTTTTGCATTAGCTTATTCGCAGGATTCTCATATAACGGTGTCTTGATGCTGTTTCAACAATGCTGGGGGCGCTATCCTGAACGATTTGTTGGAGTCAAGCTTACTTATATTATCACTCACCGAACAAATTTTGTACTGATTCTTTACCAGAAACAGCCTTCGAAATTTGACACTGTTTTTCAGTTTTTCCAATACGCAATGTGACATGTGTAGACACGGTTGCGCCGTCACATGTCAAAGCAACTTCGACCACAGCGGGAGCGGCCGCCGTGCAAGCTGAGGATAAGAAATCCAGACTTTATATTTACCTAGCTGGCCGTTACCTATTCGTTCCAATTGCCTTTGAAACCATGGGCCCATGGGGACCGTCAGCAATCGCATTTATCAAAGAACTGGGGAAGAGACTTCAGCAGCAAACTGGAGAAGCACGCTAGCATGAGTTTTAAGACAGCGCTTGTCGATAGAAATTCAGCGGGGTAACGCGGCGTCAGTGCTTGGCACGATGGAAGGGCTGGCTAAATTAAATGAGATTTTCTTGTTGTAGTTTGCATGTTTCTTTCGTTACTTTGCCCCCAAGTATGATTTGACCAATAAAGTTAACGATCCCGAAACATCAAGCACTGTTCTTGTTAAAGAACTGCCTGGGAGTGCCGAGAATTGTGCACATCTTCCGACTTGCGACCTCTCTGGCATGGATGTTCCCGCAGAAACTGTACAGACTCGACCAGGTGTTCCGCGACGCTGTAGAGTCCATAACCAATGTTCGGATGGACCACCCGACGTGGCTTCAGGCCTCCCTACCTGTTCGCTCTGGCGGTCTGGGGATCAGACGCACGGAGAAGCTAGCATCCTCTGCCTATTTGGCATCGGCTTCCTCTCTGCGACCGCTGATCTCCAAATTATGCCCGACGCAGACGGCTACGGATTTAACTGTCGCCAGCACGCCTGGAAAGCGCTGGCTAACACAGATGAACTTCCGGCCGAGGTGTTCCGACATGTCCAAAAAGCTTGGGATACACCAGCGACGCTACATTCCTTTTCTCAGCTGGCAGATTTAAAGTCCACACAAGAGGAAGTCGCCCACCTGAAGGCGGTATCCGTCCCGGAAGCCGGAGTATGGATCCATGCTCTGCCTGCCGCTTGTCTCGGTAACCTGCTGGAAAAACAACACTTTCCGTATAAGTGTAGCGCTGCGTTTGCGAGCACCAATTGTTACACCTCACGTGTGTGTATGTGGGGAGATGGTCGATAACTTAGGACGACACGGGATCCGGTGCAAACGGTCAGCCGGAAGACTGCCCCGACACGACGGTATCAGTGGGGAGTTCACTCGCGGATTAAAGACGGCCGGTTTTCCAGCAAGAATGGAGCCGAAAGGTCTATCCGTGAAAGATAACAAAAGGCCAGATGTGATCACACTTGTACCATGGGAACGGGGAAAACCGCTAGCAGTGGATGTGACGTGCGTCGATACACTCGCAGCTTCGTATATTGAGCGCACCTTCGCTAACGTTGGTGCCGCAGCCGCGCAAGCGGAAAGGAGGAAACTGGCAGAACACGCCTGGATGCAATCGAGATATAATTTCACCGCTGCAGCGTTCGAAATTTATGGCCCTTGGAGTGACGGGACTAAGCACCTAGTGCACAAGGTCGGGAACGGTATCGCCACAGCCACAGGCCAGAAACGGGCGAAAGAGTTTTTAGACAGCGGTTATCTATCCAAATGCAACGGGGAAACGCGATATGTGTTATGGGTACAATCCCCGAGCAGGATAGCATTGAAGAAGTGTTTCTGTTATAATTCTCGTCTTTTTTGGTACTCAGTTTGTACATACATGACGATACTTATTAAAGGCTGTTACTATCGCCAAGTAGATTTATTCAGGTAACCATCTTATTAAACAGTTACTATGAGTGTCGTTTCATTGAGCGACTTTGATTCAACAGAGACAATCGTATCGTTGAATGATGAATCGCCGACGTCACGGTGCAATCAAGTCAATTATGGCAAAACACACTAGAGAGGCTCTTCTAACAGCAATCCAAGTGTCCCAACGGATTTCGCTTCCAATAAATTTTATAAAGTATCTGCAGAGCCTTCCCAGTCGGCAGGAATACAACGTGCGTGCACGTTAACGTAACCAAACTGTACCTTACAAAGCAAGGCGGGGCGTTAACGCCGCTTTTCAGGTTACATTTAAAACTTGAACGTTCTCTCTTCTGATAACATAATTTAAAATGGGTTTCATTCTGAAACTCTGTACCGGCTGGTTTGTCGTCTTGCAGATGACGGGATTCTTTTTGTATCGAGACAAATCTAACGCTCTTTACAGGCTGGTGCTCGTTATTGTGGTGCTGTATGCGACGGCGCAGTTGTTTTTTCAAGGCAGGATTGATTATGAATACTTCAACAGATACCTCACTGAAAATCCGCCAAGTGTCAGCGCGCTCGGAATGCACATTCTACGCATATCCGATTGGCTATCAGTGATAGTATACCATGTGACATCATGGCGGTCTAGCGGTATCACGTTATCCGTAATAAAGAGCCTGGATCATTCGTTCATCAAGTACCTAACTCGGCGGGATAAGCTTTGGATACCTCTAGTCGTATTTTGTTGGACCGTTTTTTCGCTTGTTTTTATAAGCCTCCGTATTGCCGCCTGGCGCTTTCAAGATTCACTGGAATATATTAACGGAGTGGAATATTTCAAGGGGTTATCATTATCGGTCAAGTGGCTTATCTGCGATGTCTTTGTAGCGTTTGTCCACCTCGATCCGTTAGGAAGAATATCCTTTCATAGTTTTCTCATCATATTGACTGGGATATTTGCAACCATTGCGCACCGGGTGAAAAAGTCCGCCTTAAGTGCAAATGATGAAAAAACATTTGCAAAAATACGGGTTGAATGCAAGTGGTTGAGCGACATGATAAGAGCGCTGGACAACTGTTATTCCAACACGAGTTTCCTACTGTGCATGAATATCGTGGGTTTCGTTTTTTATGACTCGTTTACTCTGAGTCAGGCGTTAGCTGTAACACACAGTTACAAGGAAACATTTGGCAACATTGTCATTATTGCTTTTCATATGGTTTTGCTCGGCGCCCATCTGGTTATGACATCTTGGCATACCGAACAGGTAAGTAGCGTTTCTTCTGCAATTTTCGGTCGCATGCATTTATACAGTATTTCAACTCTTTCGTACTATGCCGTAATTGTTACTGCAAAATTGCGCCATATTATTATTATTACTCTGTATTTACCTTGGTTTTTTAGCAATTTGCTTTGGCTAATGCATTGAGGAACCATCCGCTTGCTAGCTGTCAAAAAGATACTGCCGGTGTAGCAGCAGACCAACCCGTAACGTTTACCATCGGGAAACTCACCATCACCAGGGAATCTACGCTGACGGTAACAGCAAAGACTGTCCTGTCCCTGCGGTTCTGCATGCAGCATGAGTATCTTTACCCGTTATTTTTTAGGTTTTGACAGGCATTGTTGGATACATTTTCCTGTACGCGGAACTTGCAGGCAAAGATAACAAGCACGGAACAAACGTCTGTGACTGTACCAATTCAACTGCGACAAACTCCCGGTAGAGTTGTACGTACTGTAGCTACAAGCCAACAACCACCGGCTCCACATGCTGACAGTTTGTAAAAACGGGACTCCAAACAACTTTGATAAGATAACCTTGATAATGAGCAATTTGGATTTCCTTATTTACGACGATAGAGGACTGTTATTTTGTTCGTGTGCTTAAGACGAGTGTTCGATCCCTGGAGTAGCGCTTATTTGTTTCAAGCAGGCTGCGGTCAGATTAACTATTGCAGTATGGCACAGCATGTTGTGCTATCGACAGAATAACCCTTACAGTCTAAAATTTTATATCAACATAACCGATATCGGGTTGTGGATTACGAAAAGCTCGTTCGAACAGTAGGTAACACGGGGTGTGCGAAATTAACGTTTCATTGGGTACCTCTCGTCTTAACCGTTTAGTAAAGCTGTAAGTGTAGAAAAATATCACTTAATTTCAGCAAAATCTTCTGTACTTGCTGCGGGAACACGAATAAAAAATGGTGTTTGTGATAGCTAGAGGATATAATACTAGTAATGCAGCACATTGTAATGAACAAATCGTCCAGAATCCGTATGTTTTCTTCGTACACGCACGAATCAGCCAGTACACGTACCAA